AATAGTCTATAATTTATTTTCTACTTTTTAGTGCATTAGTACATAAAAGCTTGTTATTAAAACGTTTTTTATGAATTTTTTTTGTTGTTGTTGTTTTTTTAATTTGTTTTTCTTTCTTTTTTTTGTATTTTCTTTCTTCCGCGTATTGAATAAAACACCCAATCAGAGCTCCGTATAGAATAAACGCAGACATATTTTTTTTAAATGTATTATCTCTTTATTAGAGCAAATTTTTATGAAAAGTCTATTACTATTTGATTTCCGAGGAAAGTATGTGTACTCTTTTTTTTTCACGATAGATAAGACTTCATTTTTTTTTCATTCCTTTCACAAAATTTGTTTTTAAAACTTGGTAGTCAGTGTTAAAATGTTTATTTATAACTGTTATTTGTTTGTTTCATTTAACGCTTGAAGAACGTCAATTTTTATAATGCTTTCAACTTCCAAGTAAGTCTTGAATAATTTATGAGAGGTTGGTATTGTTGTTTATTTAATGGATAACTTCGATTTTTAAATGAATTGAGAAAGAGCTTGACATATTATAAAACTGCAATTATATAGTAGTGTGGTGTATTTTCCTTGCACAAGTTTTTTTTTTCATGATTTTTTTTCACTTTTGTACTAATACTAATAACTGAGCATGTTTCAAAATTATGCTAAACAAAGAAAAACTACTTATCGAATAGAAGAAGAAACGGGTTTACTGTTCGAACAATGCTTTTAAATCAGACAGACCTCAAAAGGATTGTGAAAAGAGTATTTGTGGTTGATGGAATCGTGTGGTAAGCCGCCTTTGTTTTCCCTAACTCTAGTTAGGATTCGAACTCGATAATTTCGGGTTAGCAGTCTAGATCTCTACAGCTAGGCCACGTTGTCCCATTTATATGCATATATAAATATGTATGTATATATATATATATATATATATATATATATATATATATATATATATATATATATATATATATATATATGTATAGGCTATTATAGCCTACATATGTAACAACATATTAATATTGATAATTTGCTTTTATGTTGTTTTGTGTTTACGCGTTTTGTGTTCAGTTCTTTTCTGTTTTCCAAAAAGCATTTTTATGTTCGTCACAAAAGTTTCCCTTTTCATTAGTGGGACGTAACTGATTAATGAATTCCATTATCCTATTTGCTTACATTTATAAAAAGTCTAATTATTTATAATAAATACAAAATAGTACTTTTTTGGTCTAAAAAAAATAAACAGCAGATGCGCCTTCATTATGATTTTTTTTACAAAAAACAAAACGCGCGCATTTAAATCTAGAACAATATCATACAATTCTCTTAAGGTTCTTAAGGTTAAAATACCGAAGTTAAAACACACATATTTAACAAACACCGGAAAACTCGTAGCTTACAGATCGTTCCCACAATATCTCTAAACTGTTAAAGTAAACAAAAGGCACACCGCACCACCTTGCACCGGTGAAAACAAATACCGAACATCCTTTTATTTTACTCTACGAGACAAAAAAAAACTATCAGATAAACAATGGACTAAGTAGGTCTTTAAACTTTTTGAGACAGACAGCTGTGATGCAATGTCTGTTGACTGTTTATATCGCTCAGTGTCGGAGCAAACAACAGTTCAAATTATTGGATTCGACTGTTTTTAAAGGTAATTATTTCTATTGGTTGATTTGTTGACATTTTGTAAAGTCTTAAATAAAAGGATCTAGATCTAACAACGTCAGACATCAGATAATGATACGTTGTAAAAAGCAATTTTAATTTGGTGGCTTATGTGACGAGAAAAAAGGATAAAATAGTGACTAATTTTGTTAGGAGACTAGATGTAATTCAATTCCTTGCTGGCTTTGTAAAAACAACGCTTTGTTTATTACACCCCCCCCCTCCTAACTCATGCTAGAGGTGTAGTCAGTGATGGGGCTACATCAACAATAAAACCTGTTTAGGTACCAGCTAGTAAAGGTAAGCAATAGGTCAACCCAGTTTCATGTAAGATATGGACCGATTTCATTAGAATTATAGTGAGTGTGCAATCACTGCTGAATAACCTTGTAGACATAAAGGCCCATCTGCTGTGGTTTTGTAGTCTTGACATAAGAGATATACTGGTTAAGTGTAGAGATTATCCTATTAAGGTGTATAGTCATGACGTAAGTACTGTGTAGAGATTATCCAATTAACGTGTGTAGTCATGACGTAAGTACTGTGTAGAGATTATCTGTTTAGGTGTGTAGTCGTGACGTAAGTACTGTGTAGAGATTATCCTATTAAGGTGTGTAGTCATGACGTAAGTACTGTGTAGAGATTATCCCATTAAGGTGTGTAGTCATGACGTAAGTACTGTGTAGGAATATCTGTTTAGATGTGTAGTCATGACGTAAGTACTGTGTAGAGATTATCCTATTAAGGTGGGGAGGCATGGCGTAAGTACTGTGTAGAGATTATCCCATTAAGGTGTGTAGTCATGACGTAAGTACTGTGTAGAGATTATCCTATTAAGGTGTGTAGTCATGACGTTAGTACTGTGTAGAGATTATCCTATTAAGGTGTGTAGTCATGACGTAAGTACTGTGTAGAGATTATCCTATTAAAGTGTGTAGTCATGACGTAAGTACTGTGTAGAGATTATCCTATTAAAGTGTGTAGCCATGACGTAAGTACTGTGTAGAGATTATCCTACTAAGGTGTGTAGTCATGACGTAAGTAGTGTGTATAGATTATCCTATTAAGGTGTGTAGTCATGACGTAAGTACTGTGTAGAGATTATCCTATTAAGGTGTGTAGTCATGGCGTAAGTACTGTGTAGAGATTATCCTATTAAGGTGTGTAGTCATGACGTAAGTACTGTGTAGAGATTATCCTATTAAGGTGTGTAGTCATGACGTAAGTACTGTGTAGAGATTATCCTATTAAAGTGTGTAGTCATGACGTAAGTACTGTGTAGAGATTATCCTATTAAAGTGTGTAGTCATGACGTAAGTACTGTGTAGAGATTATCCTACTAAGGTGTGTAGTCATGACGTAAGTAGTGTGTATAGATTATCCTATTAAGGTGTGTAGTCATGACGTAAGTACTGTGTAGAGATTATCCTATTAAGGTGTGTAGTCATGGCGTAAGTACTGTGTAGAGATTATCCTATTAAGGTGTGTAGTCATGACGTAAGTACTGTGTAGAGATTATCCTATTAAGGCGTGTAGTCATGACGTTAGTACTGTGTAGAGATTATCCTATTAAGGTGTGTAGTCATGACGTAAGTACTGTGTAGAGATTATCCTATTAAAGTGTGTAGTCATGACGTAAGTACTGTGTAGAGATTATCCTACTAAGGTGTGTAGTCATGACGTAAGTACTGTGTAGAGATTATCCTATTAAGGTGTGTAGTCATGACGTAAGTACTGTGTAGAGATTATCCTATTAAGGTGTGTAGTCATGACGTAAGTACTGTGTAGAGAATTCCTATTAAGGCGTGTAGTCATGACGTAAGTACTGTGTAGAGATTATCCTATTAAGGTGTGTAGTCATGACGTAAGTACTGTGTAGAGATTATCCCATTAAGGTGTGTAGTCATGACGTAAGTACTGTGTAGAGATTATCCTATTAAGGTGTGTAGTCATGACGTAAGTACTGTGTAGAGATTATCCTATTAAGGCGTGTAATCATGACGTAAGTGCTGTGTAGAGATTATCCTATTTAGGTGTGTAGTCATGACGTAAGTACTGTGTAGAGATTATCCGTTAAAGTGTGTAGTCATGACGTAAGTACTGTGTAGAGATTATCCTATTAAAGTGTGTAGTCATGACGCAAGAAGTGTGCTGCACATAAAATAAGAACCGGGCCAAGGCTAGTCCTCTGCACCAAGTTTAATGTGATAAGACACTAGTCCATCCAACCTGCACGCTTTCACCTGATGGTACTTACGTTGTCTACTTTATTTTGACACATCTTATATCTAGGACAACAAAGCTTTATCGACTCAAGACAGTATTGAATATAATCAAAAGATTTTTTTTCTATATTCATTATCCATAAAACTTGTATTTTGTTTTTCTTTGTTGTTTACTGTCATTTATTTGGATGTCGGAGGTGGAAAGGTTAAATAAAATGGACTAAAATTGCTTGCACTCATTTATTGAAAACCCTAAGGATATTTCTATTGTACTAATAGACAGTGTGATCAGCCGAAAACTCAGCACATAGCGACAGTACACAATAGCACTTGGACATCCCAACCTCTTCGTCGGTTTTCTTCCGACTAAGAGAGAAAGCTGAAATCTACCGTCTAAACCGTCCAATGCATCACCCGACCCCCTGGCCCCCCCCCCACTCCCCTAATTACGTATGACCGTCCACGTGTGGCCAGCTGTGAGTGCGTGCCAGATTAGGAACTTGTATTGATATCGATTACGATTGCGGCCAATTTTCCCCCTACCAAAGTTCTGCAATTTCCTGTATCGTTCAATTCTATTTAGCGCCGCTTCCCCTAAACGGTGTGTGTGGGGGGGGGTAATATTTTTAGGCATAGAAGCAGTGTGTTGTGTATGTATGTATGTATGTATGTATATATATATATATATATATATATATATATATATATATATATATATATATATATATATATATATATATATATATATATATATATATATATATATATAAGATATTATAATTCGTAAAGTATCATCGTGTGTACATGATAACGAAAGTCAAAGGGAAGATAACTTCTGTAGATAAATTCTAATCTTTCTTTACCCTATCACTACTGTCCAATTAGGTGTGTGTGGTTCAATATTGCGTTAATCTTTTTGCTCAATTTTAAAAAAATTATTTTAAATATACAAACCCTTTATTTTATTGATCTTATTAACCTCGTTAGACCTGACAGGAAGAAACAACCGTTGGACATGTATTTGTTGTATATCAACAATGTGTTGGCTTGCAGTTTCATTTTTTTTATTGCTATTTTAAATTATTTTATATTATAATTATATTCCAGATCGATCTAGGTCCAGCCTATTTTTGTCCAAGAAATGAAAAGAAAAGACTGCAGGTAGGAAGATGTCAGGTAACGTGACGACCAATATGACGTCATTCTACCAGAACACCACGCTGTACGACACCTTCCTGATGACGCACGGGCATGTTTATGATTTTCAAAAGGTGCGGATACTAATATTCTCTTTCGTCTCGGTTACTGAGCTTATCATTCACTTACTAAACGGCACTAAATGTACATACCCTGAGGTTTGATTTCATTATCAATCGAACAGAAATTCAGATGCAAAAAAGAAGTTAAATAACGGCTTCATACGATAAATATTTAATCAAATATTGCGCGCTATAACTAGTTCGTTCCCAGTGTTTCTTCCAGACTTTTTTCTCCGGGGGGGGGGGGGGGCACTTGAAATCTTCGGGGGGGGGTGGTAAACTTTCTTCGGGGGGGGGGGGGCGGACACTGTTAAAAGTATATATTTTCTATATAAATTATATAAATTTCATTTCGTTCGGGGGGGGGGTGGTAAAAAATTTTCGGGGGGGGGGGGGGGGGGGGGCCAAGCCCCCCCGAAGAGATGCCTGGAAGAAACTCTGTTCGTTCCTCGGATAAATTGGTTCTAGCTTTATCTTGTTCATTATTGTTGAATATGCAACACTACAGTTAAATATCTTCATAATGGCTTCGTGTCCCAGGAATTGCGAGTATTATAACTGAAACATTTCTATTAAAGAGTGATTTATGTCATTTCATTTTCCCCCAATACAGATAGCGTGCATTGACTGGGATGACGTGGAAGTCGAACACTCTCTGGCGCCCCGTGCCTACACGTCATGGAACGCCCTGAACATTCTCCGCCTCACCCTGGCCATGTGGATCATGGGCAGCCACGTGGCCATCATCGTTTTCGTGCTGGCCATGCGAGGCCTGAGGTCACAGCCCAAGAATCTGCTCATCGTGAACGTGGCCTTGACCAATCTCCTGATGGGCGCTTTCGTTGTGCCGGTCAAGCTGCACTTTATACTTAACCCGGATGTCATGGCGTGTGACCTTGCCATTGTAAGTTTGCCACGGCCTTGACAGAACTGTTTTTATATATATTTTTTGTGTGTGTGGCTTACTAAACTCATTTCAGCTCTGTAATTTTTTGTATGTAATGTAATTGATGGCTCAACGATGTTGTCGATTGCTAAACCCAAAAAAAAAAACCTTTAGCTCGCCAGTTCTGATAAGTACTTGATTAAAGTTAGGTAAATTAAAGGCAGCGGTTATATAGCTAACTACACTATCTCTCCATATGCTGATGCAAAACAAATAAACCGGGAGTGATCTCCCCTAAACTTTCTCGAATATTCTTATATAAAATAACAGGGGATGGAAACTCGGGCTATAGACATGATTTTTAATCCATTTTAAATACTTAAAGTTTTAAAAATAGAATAAAATCTCGTAGACAAATTAATTGCACACCAAGTGAACGCAAATAAAAAAAGCGCATAATAGTGCGCAATATTATTAGTACTTTTAAAATTTACATTAGTTTTTTGAGAAATCGGAAGTAGCGTAAATTACTACTTCCGGTCAACGGAAATTACTCAAAATTTAACAGAAGGTAGAGAATTAGATCTTTTACTTACATGTGAAATTTCATTTATCTATCTGAAATAGTACTCAAGTTATAGGCTTTTAAAAAATTCAAAGTAGGAAAAGTACCACTTCCGGTTATCGGAAATCGCTCAAAAGTTGATACGGATCTACGATTTTGATAAAATACTTATATATGAAATTTCATCAACCTAGCTGTAATGGTACTCAAGTTATCGTGTTTACACACGGACAGACACACACACAGACACACACACACACAGACATACGGACAAGATTGCAAAATTATGTTTTTCCGTATCAGTGAGGTGTAAAACGTCGAGATTTGTAGAAATCTCGATTTTTTTTTTTTTGCACGATTACAATACTTTCTCTATACTACGTATATACGAGAAAGTAAAAACAAACAAATAAACTCTACTTTATCTGCTTTTACCGTCAGCATAGAGAAGGAAGCTTTACCATGCTTATGACTTGTTTATGTGTAAGACTTTGTTTTAATTATTCTTTCGCCTTTTTGTTTACTTTAAAAAAAACTCATACAGATAATACCCTTATCCTAATTTATAAAAGCCCAATGTGCGCACATCTCTCTCTCTCTCTCTCTCTTTCTCTGTCCGCAAAAAATTTTCGCCGGACATCACGTCAGAATCGGCAGCGATATATCGAGAATTTTTTACGGACTTTTGTTGAAAATAATATGTTAGATGTTTTAAATGTATAACCACAATTTTATTTAAAGAAGAAAAATAAAAATTTAAGGCGTATTCGAATGTAGAGAAACAGTATTATTTATGCAACCGGAAAAGCATTAATATATGTGAAAAAGAACGCATAAAACTGTGACGTCACTATTGCTTATACATTAACTATTGACGTCATCTGCCTAAAAAGCGAAGATGTTAGTGTACATTAAACCACGCAGGTGGTGCGGGTTCGAGACACACCAAGTCAACTTGGTTAATGTATTTATTTTTATTATGCTCGGGCTAAACTTAAAAAAAAATTCTTTTAGGAATCTAGATCTAGATCTAGATTGTCGGGTGTCCAATAGGGCACTTCCCGGCGCCGCAGGCGCTTCAAATTTGGCAGGATCTTGCCTTGGGGCGACAGAACACGGGGGCCGGTTGGCCGAAAAGTCTACGATGAGGGGGTCAAAACTGACCTCGACTGACCGGTACCTTATATGAGCTATAAATCGAAAAAAAATGTCCACGGATTAAACCTCTTCATAACTCTTGAGGTCGTAGACCGACCCTCGGGCGAATTAATTAAGCATGCAAATTCTCAATGTTTTCGAAAGCCTAAGCGAAGCTGGGCAGCATGCCTAGTAACTTTATAAAAATGCAAACTCCCTACATCCAAAATATAAGAAGTGCATTACCAGAAATGAGATTCCCCCCCCCCCTCTAGTAACTAGTACAATATATTCTAATATAATCCATACTTAACCTAAAACAATCTACCTCTAGTAACTAGTACAATATATTCTAATATAATCCATACGTAACCTAAAAAAATATACCTCTAGTAACTAGTACAATATATTCTAATGTAATCCATACGTACCTAAAAAAATATACCTCTAGTAACTAGTACAATATATTCTAATGTAATCCATACGTAACCTAAAAAAATATACCTCTAGTAACTAGTACAATATATTCTAATGTAATCCATACGTAACCTAAAAAAATCTACCTCTAGTAACTAGTACAATATATTCTAATGTAATCCATACGTAACCTTAAAAAATATACCTCTAGTAACTAGTACAATATATTCTAATGTAATCCATACGTAACCTAAAAAAATCTACCTCTAGTAACTAGTGCAATATATTCTAATGTAATCCATACTTAACCTAAAAAAATCTACCTCTAGTAACTAGTACAATATATTCTAATGTAATCCATACGTAACCTAAAAAAATATACCTCTAGTAACTAGTACAATATATTCTAATGTAATCCATGCGTAACCTAAAAAAATCTACCTCTAGTAACTAGTGCAATATATTCTAATGTAATCCATACTTAACCTAAAAAAATCTACCTCTAGTAACTAGTACAATATATTCTAATATAATCCATACTTAACCTAAAAAAATCTACCTCTAGTAACTAGTACAATATATTCTAATGTAATCCATACGTAACCTAAAAAAATCTACCTCTAGTAACTAGTACAATATATTCTAATGTAATCCATACTTAACCTAAAAAAAAATCTACCTCTAGTAACTAGTACAATACATTCTAATATAATCCACACTTAACCTAAAAAAATCTACCTCTAGTAACTAGTACAATACATTCTAATATAATCCACACTTAACCTAAAAAAATCTACTTTCTCAGGGCTGGACTTTCGTCTCGGATTACTTCCAGACATCCGTGTCTCTGTTTGCTGTCTTCAGTCTCGTGCTGGAGCGCTTCATCTACGTCTTCACGGAAAAGAAACAAATCTACGTCAAGCCCTGGGCCTCAAGGCTCATCACCGTGGTCCTGCTCGTATCTCCCTGGCTGTTGGCCGCCATCTTGCTGGCACCCACATTTTACGGCGGGATGCTGGCTAAGTCCCATGAGGGAGACAACTGCTTGTTTAAAGTGAACGAGAACTACTTCGTGGCCGCCCAGCTGTTGTCTTTCATCCCGGCGTCGCTGGCTGTTTTTGTGGCGGCGCCCTACACGGGTCTGCTGGACTGCCTGCGCCCCAACCGTTGTTTCTACACGCCGCTCACCCCTAAAGGCGAGTCAGTCACCGTGACGGCTTTCGTGAGCCTGTGCTCCATCTTCGCCGAGGCGCCGTTCTGCATAGTCCGCGTCCTACTGATGACGATGGAGTGTGACAACTCGGTCTGTGTGGGTCTGGTCCACGCCCTTACCATGACGATATGGGTCCGCCTTTGCAAGACGGCCGTCATGCCTTTCATCTGGCTGGCTTACACTGACATAAGAAACGCGATGCTTTGTCAACTGTCTTTTGGGGACGACCCTAACGATGATGAAGATGAGGATGAGTTCGAGGAACCTGAACAGGTGGACGATACTCAAAAGTTGCCGTTGAAGTCTATACTGAGAAACACTGTTCCAAAAACGGAAGAAAAGACTTAGCTTGGAAAGAAATTGAACGATCCATGATTTGAGTGGGAATAATGAAATTAACTCTAAGATACAACGATTTGTTTGCAGCGTTCGGTTAGATGACACAGTAATTCTATGTTCTCTTATAGGGCAATATCGAAGTTGGTGTGTATTGATTGTTAACTTAACCCTAGTCTAATCCTTGCCTTGACTTTAACAGCGATATTTACATTGCCCTGTTTGGGAAAATAATAGAACACATCATTTTTAGTGAGGATTCATTGAGGCAGAAAAAAAAACGTGCAATTTAGATAACGGATTAATAATATTTACTTGTACAAAAATGTAAGCGTGTCTGCTTAATTACTTTTTACACTAATTAATTAACAGTATCTTTCATGAAGATGTTAACGTGTGCTTGACCTGTTTTTGTACTTTATTTGTCACTTGTGTGCATTTAGTCAGCAAATGATTTTTACTTTAAAACGTAGTCTAGAACTACTTTTTTATATTAGTTTTAATTTGTTTACCTTTAATTTTTAAAAGTGTAAAGACCGATGAGCGTCACAGAGGGGTGTGGCTACACCGGGTGACACCCGACCTTAGTGACGCCAGTGGCGTAGCGAGGTCGGGTGTCACCCGGTGCGGCACTTAATGGTGTCACCCCCCCCCCCCGGAGGCGTAGCGACCGTTCCCGGGGACAAACTTTCAAATTTTCGATTTGCACCCCCCCCCCCCCCTCAAGTTTTCGATTTGCAACCCCCTCAAACTTTCGATTTGCACCCCCTCCCCATCAAACTTTCGATTTGCACCCCCCTCTCAAGTTTTTCTCTATATATTTTGCTATTTTTTTGCCTTGGTGTCGCCCCCCTAAATGGTGTCACCCGGTGCGGTCCGCACCCCCCGCCCCCCCCCCCCCCTCGCTACGCCCCTGATTACATAGCCCAACTGTGGGCAGAGATACAAAGCTTTTCACATTTTCTTTGTCCTGAGTAGCTTGACACAGTAAAAACTTGCTTGATGAATGTTTAGGGCAGCGAGTCAGAATTTTGAACGATTGAGAAATAACATTTAAAAACTGTATACAAACCACAATTATTCATCATTAAGTCTATATTGTGGATGGAACTGACTGGTAGTAATTATAATTGTTAAAGCTGTAATTTTATATATTTGTATAAGCTTTTAAAAATGATTTATTCTGAATACGGGATGTTGCATGGAACTTAATGGATTGATTAATATATATTGATTAGCGGCTAACAATATAAAGAAAAATTACGAGGTAAACGAAAAGTAACACAGACAATGGCAGGTTTTGCAAGGCGAAAAAGAAGCAAAATAAAACAGGAATGATCTCCCCTAAACTTTCACGTATATTCTTATTCTTTCTTCATGACGCTTTTCTGAGGTCGGTCAACATTTAGTGTATTGATGAATTTCTATTACATTCTACAAAAGTAGCCTTTTAAAGACGCGTAATACTAAAAGAGGCGACAGCTATTTTTTTTTACATATTACTTTTAACTGCAAAAATGTCTTTTCATTTTCCAGAACCCCCCCCCCCCTTCCCCTTTATCACATATCTCACAAAAATCAGATCCCTCCCCCTAGGACTGTGACGTCGTTAATGGACGACCCCCAAAGGAGATCAAACAAAAAGACATCAGGCAGCTTAACAATACCAGTGGCGTCACAAGGCGGAGGTAGGGGGTGCGGTTTGCAACGGGTTACACCATTGGGGGGGGGGGGGGGTAATACAAAATAAAAATGTAAAATGTATTGTCAAAACAAAGTTTTGTCCCGTTAAAATAATACAAGGGAAAGGGGTGACACCTAAACGAAAATGCAACATTGGGGGGGGGGGGGGCTGGGATAACACTCCCAGTTACCGCCCATAGTAATGAGCTACTGAACAATACCAATATTATTTTGGTGGCAGGGTATAAAATATGTCTGTTCTTTAGTTGTATATACATACACCGGGTATAGACAAATTTGGCACAAGTAACTGATTTGTAAAATTAATTGAAACTAATAATCAAAACTGGATTATTGGCATTATATAGCCTATCTACATTAAATAGTTGTTGTATTTATAGATAGCCTGATAGGTGATCACATAGAGGACACACTTTACAGCAGTCACGGAAACAAAAGGATCATTAGTCTATATCTGGCAACAGCTGAACTTAACATTAATGTTTTTTCTTGTTGGACAATTTTTATGGCGATTTCGCCTGAAGACAAAACAACAGCGGAAGAAACTAACACTTCAACTGTATTTACTGCAGCCCATAAAATAGATCTAGGCTTAGCCAGCTGATTCGTCTATATATAAACTTAGTGGGCCTTGTAATAAGATGGAGAAAAAAATGGTCCATGCTAATGGTGATCTGTGGTTGATTATGTATACTTTATAAAGTAAAAAGAATAATGCTGCTAAAGTAGACAAATTTGCGTCATATAGTTGGCCTATGCATGCGGCGAATGGTTGTGGGGATCGTGAATTTGTACTTTTTAAACTATTTAACCTTATAAACATTATTTAAACTGAAACTATTTTACTTCTGTAAACTTTGTGCAAGCTTTTGCGTTGGTGTAATTCCCCCCCCCCCCCTCCCCCCCCATATAGTGTCACCTGGTGCGGTCCTCGCCCCCCCCCCCCCCATCCCCTTACCTACGCCTCTAGCTAGGCCCATCCATAGTGAAATGCTTTAGTAAAGCTTTTTTTCTTTTTTTTTTTTTTTTTTGCTTTTAGATCCAATAATTTTAAAAATAAGATAACCCTTTTTTTCACACTCAACTCACCTCTCCCGTCTAAAAAAATCCGGGAACGCCTCTGTGCTAATCCTTTGATTTATGATCGACATTAGAAGAAATAGAAACACTGCAGTAGGCTGCTAGATGTGTTGACAAAAAAGGCAGTTTCGTCAAGTAAACCACTATTGTTTAACACAGACATTTTGAATTTGAAAGCCACTTGTCCCTCAATGTAGTATTTTACTTTGAGCGTTGTCTACAATAATCCTGACATTTGATCAGTAGCTCTTTGTAATCCTACAGTGAATTAGAAGTGACAGTACGGATCAACTATTGACCGTTAAGATTACTTATTCGATTTTAAACGTCTTGATACCAGAGTTTCTTACAGGCATCTCTTCGGCCCCCAAAAAAATCTACCGCCCCCCCCCCCCCCCCCGAAAGAATAAAGTCTGGAAGAAACCCTGCTTGATGCAAGATGCTGTAAGTGGGAACATGGTCGCACCGAGGACTTGTTCTAATGTTTTTATATATATATAATGTATGTGGATAGGTGGGACGAAGGGAGAAGGACATGCTTACCTTGACCTAACATAGTCACACTTGAGTGGGATGAATGTTTACTGAAGGGGAATCCTGACTAGCAAAGTTCAGTGTAACTTTTTAAAGAATTATAGTTGTGAAAATGATTTTGTCGGAGGCAGACTTTAGCTCAGAGGTAGGGCAGTAGTAGAAGCTTCACATTCGTGAAATTTGGTTTGTTGGCCACTCAATGGTCCTTAAATAAAGACACAAAGATACAGATTACCAGATACAGAGCACAAGACACATGGGGCAGATGAAGTAGAGTTTATGTTTCAATTACCTCAACATACAAGACAATGATGTGGTCAGCACTATACCCAGCCGCCGTTGTTTCCCTAACGGGAGTTAGGTAATAATCAGAGCTGGGTGCACTCAGGGTCATTCTACTGACTTGAACTCAGATTCGAACTCGAGACTTTTGGGTCAGCAGTCAAGTGCGCTATGCTAGACCATGGCGCCCTTACAGAACCTAATAAAATGATCATTAAATTATAAAGACAATAATATACAAATCACTATAGACAGAACCTAATAGATGGTCATTAAATAGAAGACACTAAAATACGGATCACCACATAATTATAATATTTATTAACATTTTTCAAATCCAGTGGCATAACAGTAATTTTTTGAAAACATCTGAAATCACACACAAAATGACACAAAAAAGATACAGAAAAAAAAATTTAGAAGGACATTCATCCTTCTCCTCCCCACCCAATCTATTTTAGACATGAAGATATATCCTCATCAAATATGGTACATGGAATAAAACAGGGTCAATGTGGTAAGCTGACACTACTGAAGCTGGTGAAGATTTTCTTAATACAAACTTTTTGCACATAAATAAAAAATAAAACTTTTTAAGATGGCTAAATAATTTTCTTAATCTAAACATTCTTATATTTACATGATTATTGTTATAATATAAATTTTAAAGATATATATTTAATCAGTATACTTGAGACACTGTGGGACAAGGAGAGAAAAATGTTACACAAACATTTGTAAACTGGGTGGATGTAAGTTGACTTACGACTCAAAACTTATGTTCAAGAATTTGAAAAAAAAAAAGTAATTTTAATTTTTTTTTTCACAAAAACATACAAACTAATGTATAAGTTTCAAAAAAACAAATAGAAAAAAAACACATTTTGTCACAGATAAATAATAATGCTATCATCATGTAAAACATCAACTTTATAAGATCATTTTAAAAAATGAGAAACGTGAGACTAGAATCAATCAAATAATAGACAGACATCTATGCTTATTTTTAAATGTCTCCACACAAACACAAAAAAACCCACACATTCTATCATTATCTACAATGGCAGGGTAAAATACTAGTGTGCTATGAACATCTTAATTTTGTTCAGTTCTGTTTTGGCAATGTTTAATTTACATAAACACAGAAGAAATTTACTAAATTTTTCTTTATAAAAGTTAACATATTACCTTATTTTCTTTTTCAACTTGCTTCATTGCTTTAACACCCCCCTACCCACTGTTTATTATTTTGGGAAAAAAAATTCTTTTGGATGATTTGAAAAATTAAGTAAGCAATATCATAGATTTAAATTTCAATGGCTGTAAAGATTTTAATTATATTTACTTTTATATTTTAAACTTTTTAACCTTGTATGAAATTACAAAAATGCAAATATGAAAAAGAAATAAAAGTAAAATAACACAAATACAAAGGACTGTCATGCAGTGCAAATAATACCAAAACAAGCTAAATAACATAACAGATTAGCATTAAACATATAAAGAAATAATTAAAATCTGGAGTAACAGACTTATACAATTTTTTTAAATATATGGTTTGCCAATCATTTTAAAAAAGCATGAAGAAAAATCTATAAGGCTTTCTTAAAACTTAATTTTTATAATAAAGCTAACAATAAACTAAGGAAATAATTAGCAATAAATAAAAGAGATCATAAATATTTAGCTTTAAGTGATTTAAAATATATCTAAGATTGAATACTTACAAAAATTAAACTTTAGAATATTGAACAATGAGATTTTTAAAACTAACCAATCATAAAAATGCAATTACAAAATTTTTTATTTGAGCTGTAATTTGGTAATTAAATTGTTCTTACAAAAACACCAACAAAGTTGATATTATAATTAACATATTATAATGTCTAAATAGATGTAATTACCTATGAGAAGAAGCTGCAACTAAGAAACTTCAAATGTGTACACGCCATTGAAACAAACACCTTTTACTATATAAAAAGTATGATATTACACATTTATTCATAATCTGAAATGTGATATAAACTGGAGCTTTTTGTCAAAATGAAACCAAAAAAATGAGCATAATTTTAAAAGCTGGTATCAACATAAGTAAAAATGGCTTATAAGTACTAAATATAAATAACTAATATACAAAACTAACAATAAACAATTACCATCCCTAAGTATACACACAGTGAAAATACAAAGATCAAATAATATACAGATTTCTCAACATTACATTATATAACAATACAAAGTGGCAACACAACCAATTTTAGCTCAAAGACTGAACAAATATCTGCCTTAAGTAAAAAATGAAACACAGTTAGCCTGTTTAACCACTATAAAAAGTGTAAATTAATGCATAGATGTAACAAAAAAAAAAACTACAAGCTGTTTAACAAAGCAACAATGCTATATAATAATAGTTTTGATAAGTTAGAATAGTTTTTTTAGACAAAAGTAAAAATTAAAAAATTAGCATGAAACATTAAATAATTGAAACAAAACAAGTGGCATTTACAATACATGGTTGTCCTCCATCACTATGGATCTAACGGTACAGTTAACAGTTGCTTTGCTTCCTTGCTTATTTATACATTCTTTTTTTTTTTTGGATGAAAAAAAATTTAAATGAAGTTTAAATTTTGATTTGTTTATATTGCGATGTAATCTAACAGTATTTTAGCAAGTTTGTAAGTTTTGTGTTGAAGAAATCTTTAAACATAAAATGTAAATCACAAAATTTGACTTTTTGAGCAGATTTCCCAATGGATGTGCCACACTTCAGTGAAATTTAGGCTAAAATTAGAACAATAACCCTAAAACACTATCACAAAATAGGGATCATTTGATACAATTAATTCAATTGCTAAAACTGAATGTGGTCAGAAAAGTATTTCTTTGACATGTGTCACTTTGTAAATGGTTTAAAATTGGGAAAAAATATGTAGCATTGATTGATTATAACTGTTTTTAAAAATAAATTTAAACAGTTTTCTTCTATTTTTACTCCTGCAAAGAAACCATGTACCGTATTTAAATAAAGTGTGCACATCCAGATGGACCATTAAAACAATATTTGTTCATCCCCTTGACTAGTACAGACATGGCAATCAAAAAAGTAAATCTAGTTTTTTTAATTTCTGAAATCATACTTTAGATTCGAAGAAATCAATCAACCGTGAGATTACACTAGCTAGACTGAGACACATTTGAATTATTTCTTCACACAGCTGTGTATAAAGACAACCTTTATTTTAACAAGAATAATTTGAGAAACACAGAAAAAAGTGACATTCTTTATGTAGGCAGAGAACACAATAAAATGAACAATCTAAAATACTTCATTGACATTAAATACAGAGGCCTGTTACTTAAAATTTGAAACATAATGACAGCAAAAATAATCTTTTAGACATGAAACCAAGCAAAAAAAAATATCTTTACCATAAGAAACCTATAAAATAAAGAAATGTCAAATTATAGAAAATGTGTTAGTCATTTATATAACGGATTATAAACTTAAGTTAGTAAAAAAACGTAAAATCATCAACTTTGCCTAAAATCATTTGTAAATGTTCAATTACAATTATTAACAAGAAGGAAATTTACTGAGCTATTTAGTTGTAGAAAAATTATTGCAATTAATTATCGTAAGAAACTGTAAGGCAACTAAACCATCAAACATAACAAACCAGAAAGCAACCATTTCAAAAAGCAATACCACACATTTTAAACTGACACAAGTTCCTGGTGATTTAACACTCATAAAGCAATTAAATATTGCACAATCTTTTTAGGCGATATTTTTTATTAATTTTTTTTAAAGGAATACCCAGATCTAGAAGTTATTCTTAAATGGAAAAATAACTAGCAAATTTTTAAAGATTCAATAGCAAATAATAAAATATATTAAGTGAACAGTTATAAAAAAAAATCACTTAATTTTACTAATAATATTCTACACTACCTGAAACATGTTAACTTTACAGTTATTAGTTAATAGATCATAAACTTTTGTAAATTCATGTATAATGTGGTAATAATCACTTGATAAAAAATACTTAAGCTACTTTTTGAGCATGAATAAGTTATACCATGAGCACAGCCTGCTTCTCTCTTGATAAACATCATGTTACTCAAAAGCAATTCAAGCAAAATTGTATTATAAAATGAACCAGGAGAAACAAATTCAAATACAGAAAAAAAAAAATTAAACTGGAACAAAAGTAATAATTTTTGTAATGTATAATGTTGAATAAAATGTTAAAAATGTTGAAAGTTCTTTCACATTTTGATCCACGGTTGAAATTTAAATAAAAATTATTAACAAACTGCAAGACACAAATTTTATATTTGAATAAACCAGCACATACCCAGCTGATTTATCAAAATGTTAATGATCTTTGCACGCACAAAAAATAAGATGCTCTCCATTATGTTTATGGATCCTTATTAATATACATATTGAACAGACTACTTTTGTTACTCACATATTAACAATTACAAACCATATATTTCAAATATTCTCAATTCACAACCATGATTAAACTATGTGGTGTTTTCATTCTCCTCCTGCAATTGAACAACATGATAAAACAAAGAAAAGAAAAAGAATCACACTGCACAGTTTCCACAAACGTGACTAATACAACGAACAACACTGGTGGCATCTAATAGGGTCAAACCTCGGCACAAGTATAAGCGATGCCATTCAGTGACATTAATTTAAGTACTAGAACAGTAAATGAATGTAAACAAAATAAAATTCTCACCTAACTTGCTTATGAGAATGATCTTTTAAACCTTTCACATAAAGTAACCATCACTTCCTAAATTACAATATAACAAGTACTGTACACAGAAGAATGTTAAAACATAAGTAATTGTCAGCTCAATACTTGACATAGAAAGTGGTAAAGGGGGATAAGTTAACCTAACATCTAATGCAACACATGACTTTTCTAAAACTCTAAATACCCAACTTTATATTTCTGCTGTCACGTTGTTTTTAAATAAACTTGTTCACTTTCTATTGACTTCTGTTGAGCGAAATGACCAAATTTTCAATAACTTTAAATTACATTTTTCAGCTACGATAATACATTATTTGAATATAAATTAAAAGCTTGTACCTTTTGGTCCCAGTTGATACTGACATGGATTACAAGCTTATCATCTCATTTTAAGCACAAGTTGTCTGATTATTATATAATCCCCATGTGCTTCAATATTTTCCTTTACTTTCAATTAACTTTGCAAATGGCGAATAAAGAAATACAAACATGATTTTCACAATACCATAATATAAGCTTCATAAGTTAATTTCTACTAGGCAATTACCCCACAAAACTTGATGTGTTTTCATTAAAAATTGTTTCTGTCACAGGACAAAAATGTATTTAATTTTGTGAATGTTGGAGTAAGGGTAGACTAAAAGACTTTGGAATTAAGTATGTAATAAATACCATTCACATCAATAGATAATAAGATGTGGAGCAACAATCATGAATCCACCCACCAAGCTTGTATTCCAGAAAATAGATTTCACAAACAATTGTATATGAAATGTCATGGCGTTAACACACAAACATCTTCATTCATAGTACTTTTTGAAAAGTAACAAAAAATGTATATGAATGTAATAGTGTAGTCCAAAAAATAATATCTTGCTCACAGAGGAAAATAATTCAAGCTCATTTTAACAACATTAATATCATGTTCATCTTATGTTATTTAAAATTGAAATATGAAATTTAAATTCAAAATTTTCTTTTTGCTTTGAAATGCCACTTTTTAATAGAATTATTATTAAAATGAACACTTGAGTAAGACAAACTATCAAAGGAATGGATGGAAGAATTCTTTATTTAAGATTTAGTTATACAAAACGCAGAGGCAAATTTTAAAAACAAGTAAATTTTTTAAATTATATCAAATACTATAAATTTCACTTTCCATGTAACGAAGTTTGATGAACATGACAAGTAATGGAGTCAAAAGAGTGTTGGTGCTAATGTCTATAGCTACCGTCATACAACTCTCTCCTCAGGTGGAGGCAGCTGTAAGGACAAGGTGGCCTGTGCTTTCTGCTGTGAGGAGGAAATGTCTTCTTCATCAGCTGTAGCATCCGGTGCCTCAGGAACAGTTATCTCCGACTCTTCCTGTGCGGTGTCTTGTCCGTCTTGAACAATTTCCTCTGTGGCTGCTAGTCAATTGACAGCTAGCTCCACGTTGATAAACTGTTTCAGTCTGTCGAGATACTGTCCATAAAGTTCTACATCATTGTGTCCAGCACCTTCAACCCAAAGTGGCTCCACTGTGCGAGGGCAACGCTCATAAATTGTTAAACCATGGGAGAAATCAATCACTTCATCTTCTGTTCCATGAATGACTAAGACAGGTGATGTGATTTTGGGCACTTTGTCTATGCTAAATGAGAAAATATATTAATGATAATTAGTGAAATCAATATATAATAAGAGCAATATACATTTTATACTGTTTAGCTTTCTTTAACATCTGGTTTAATAAGAAGAAATGTGGGTATCTAGAAATAAAAAAATATTTTACTTAAATTATTATAAGGTATACATGATTTGTTAAAGACGGAAGAAGTCAGTCAATAGACATTTTACATCATGCACAATCCAGACTCAGGACTGCAGGATGGCCCAAAGTCCACTCAGCTTTGATGGGTACATGACTCAACTTAGAGAAAATAAAGACAGCTGGGCATCATACTGAACACACTAACCTCTTCATGTGTTGAGGTCAGGAAACATGGAATCTACTTTATCTTCTATGGATCCGTTGAGTATTAAAGGGGAACTTAACTTATCATGTCTAAATTTATTCTACTATTCTTAGTTATTTGCATTATTGTTTAATAACAATTTGTATGTAAATGTATTGTTCAGCATGTACATGAGAAACTGTAGTGTAAAACCACTATCAGCTATCTGCATACAGATTAAATTGAATGTATCAAATGAAGAGCATGGGATCATTGCTGTATTCACATTTTTTATTTTTGTTATCCAAGGAAGTATTATTTTATTATGATGAATGAATAGGGGCCTATAAACAGATGCCAACTAAAATAAGTTTAGGTAAGGGGTCATCCATAAATGACGTCAAGCTTTTTTTGACGATTTTTACCTCCCCCCTCCCCTCCGTCACACGTCGTCACAAAAAGCCAGACCCCCCCCCCCTAAAATGACGTCACACCTCAACCTACAACCCCCCTCAAAATTGCAGTTGAATTTTTTAAAAACATAGATATTTTTCCAAAATCTTGTCTAAACTATTACAATTTATTAAAACAGTTATCTAAAACGCGAAATAACGTCTAAAATTCGTTTTCTAACATTGCTTTTTTATAATGCAAAAATGTGACGTCGCAACATCTGACCCCCCCCCTCCCCCTCATCACACATCGTCACAAAATTACGGACCCCCCCCTCCCCCCTACGAGTGTGACGTCATTTATGGATGACCCCTAATTCTGTCACCCAGGTAGAAGTATAAAAATATGCTATTGTATGTGCTCTTAGTTTTTGACAAATCAAATGTAACTAACTACAAGTGGAATATGCTTTATAAACTACAACATATGAAGGATTTCATAACAACTAGATTTTACTTTGAAAAGTTGTCCAGGGAGTTGAATGAAATTAGGATAGACTACTAAAAGTTTTTGACATTACTAGTTCAGATTCTCATGGAACAATCTGATATCAATTGTGTTGACATCTAAATAAAGTATTGTACCTGCAAAACCTAGGCCTATAAGCTAATTATTAACATCACAACTGTTTAAGCAATATTGATATTCTTAAATGTTAGCACTAACCTGGGAAAAGCATCAAAGAACCAAGTTCTTTTAGTTTCAGGAAAGGCAACCCTCATGCCAGACATCAGTGGTGAATGAAGAATGACAGCTCCTACTTCATAACGAGAGGCAAGGTCTATGGTAGGCACAGTACCTATACTTTGACCATACAGGATAATATTTTGTGGGCTTATCCCATATCTGGTTCTCAAAGCCTGCCAAGCTGCATCAATGTCTGCATAGATATTTTTCTCAGAAGGCTTACCTCCACTGGCGCCATACCCTGAGTAATCAAAACTGAAAATATTACAGTTTATTCTTGATCCTAGACCAATATAAAAGCTGCTCATCTGTCCGAGATCAACTGCATTTCCATGACTAAATAAAATAGTAAACTTGGCATTTGTTGAGCACCTAGCAAACATACACACAATCCTGTTATTTTTTGTTGTTCTGGTATAAAAAACCTCAATATTGTCAAGCTCTCGTTGACTGTACTGCCATTCTGCTCTTTCTGTTAAATGTAAACTGTACCGAGATCCTGTTTCATCTGATATAAGGTCGTATGTTTTTTCAGGTGGTAGAAATGCAAGCTTGGCCGCGATTCGAGACGGGCAAGGTGGGCAACAAAAAAGGCAACAGAGCTCACTGAACGATAATCCGTTCATAATTTTATTTAGTTGATGATCTGGCACTACACACTAACAAGTAAAATACAAAAGCTAATTTAGAAACGATACATATCCATCTATCTACTCCCCAATATAATCCAGCTGCCGGTATGAAAGAGCTTACAGGAATGATTAATAAACTAGACTATCTACAATCAAACTTTCAAAGCACTTCCTTCTCAACTTTTAAGCCATCAAAACGCCATTTAATGACGTCACCCCGGAAGTGGATGCGGTCAAAAGGAAAAGTTCATAGCCAGGGTAGCCTTTTTGGTATATTGGTAATGGTAGACAATGATTTGACAAATTGAAAGAAAAGCTTGATTCTAGACTTTGTCTAGATCTAAATTATAATAATCGTAAAAGATTTTTAGCTATATTATTTAGAAATAATTGGTGCTGAAAATTGAATGAAACCATTAAACATTAATTGATATAATTACATAATAATATTATTAAACGACGTTCATTTATTTTCCATGCCCATATTTATAAAAAAAAAATATTATTCCGGGCCCACAACACATCAGGTGCTTGCGATAACTCAGCTGATTCGCAAAAATATTGAAAGTATTTTGCGTATGGAGTCGTCCTTAAGAAAATGATTAAATAGAAAACATTTGAACCCACCCCCTGTCATAATAAAATCCTGCCTTCGTCAACTACGTCACTCTCTGTCAACTACAATATAATTAGATCTAACACTTAACTACTATTCTATCATACCTTTTAAAAAGTCTTGATCGTCAGTTAGAAGTGTTCAATTTTTACAAGCTTTTTTTTTTTACAAACTTTTATTTAACTAGCTTGCTTCCTCATGCTTTTGTCTTCATCCGTCATGGTTCGAAACTACCGTGCGAAAGTTTGACCACTTCTAACTGTCCGATTCGTTTCAAACTTGGCCGGTGGTCAAAAACCTAATGACAATACAATATATATCATCAAATTTGACTAATTTTCCGCGCTATATATTAGTGGGTCACTAAAAGTATATGTTATGTATTGAATAACTTTACTAAATTTAAGTTTGAGAAGCTACCCACAATTTTCTTTTTAGTCTTATAAATAGTGGTTCATTATTATATAGGCCTACTTAATGAAAATTCTTTATTTTCTTCTTTTAAGTGCATAATTATTTAAAAGCTTGTTATTAAAACGTTGCTTGTTTATATAAATTATTTTTTTTATCCTGTATCATGGTAGTTCTATGATGTCTCTTTCACTTAGGGGTCGTCCATAAATGATGTCACACTCGTAGCGAGGAGGGAGGTCCGTTATTCTGTGACGGTGTGTGATGAGGGGGAAGGGGGGGGGGGTTCAGATTGTGTGACGTCACTTTTTTTGGATTATAAAAAAATCAATCTTAGAAAACGAGTTTTAGCTGTTATTTCGCGTTTTAGAAAACGTTTTTAATAAACTATAATAGTAATTGATCAAAATACTCTATGTTGACAAAGTTCTGACAAGATTTTGGAAAAATATCGATGTTTTAAAGAAAAATGTATCAGCAATTTTGAGGGGGGGGGGGGGTGGAGGCTAAGGTGTGACGCCATTTTAGGGGGGGGGGGGGTCTGGCTTTTTGTTACGACGTGTGACGGAGGGGGGGGGGGAGGTAAAAATCGTCAAAAAAGCGTGACGTCATTTATGGATGACCCCTTATGTCATATTTTAAAAATTATGGCTTAATGAATTACCTGTACTGACTTACTATGTCTTGGTCATGTATCATTTTCTTCTTTTCACGACGTTTGTCAAGCACATGCAATATGTGTTATGCAACCCAGGGCGATGGCGTCACTAGGGCGGGGATGGAACTCGATGCGATAACTGGGGGGGGGGGGGTGTCACCCCACACCTATCAATAAACTTACATGTTATGATTGGTGTCACTCATCTCCTCCTACAATTATATATTTTTACTGGATCCAACATCGTTTTGACCCGGCGCAAACCGAACCCTACGCCCCAGCTCTGTGACGCCACAGACACAGGGTTTCTTGTTTTGGTAAAGTTTTCACTTGCTGTGTCAGTAAATAGAGTTACTTTGTTAACATATCGACTTTTAGTTCCAATAGCATATATTATCTAGGATATCGATCGCTGCAAATTTATTGTCACTTTTGTTTTAAAGATATCTGTTATTTTTTTAGTCTTCTTGACCTTCTTAATATGTGTAAGTTGAAGGTCATCATGACTAGGTCGTAATCACTTCCCACTTCCACTCACGGAAGCCCCGCGTCTCGGCAGGCAAGGTTTCTTTTAGACATTTTTCTCCGGGATGGGGGAGAAAACCGAACTTGACACTTTCGCGATGGGGTAGGGGCACAGTTAAAATTTCTGGGAGACGACGACAACACTGCTTTAAAATTATAAATTTTCCATCTAAATTATATTTTTCATCTCTGTCGTCCGGGGGGAGGGGGGGGGGGTATTGCCCCTCTCCCGGAAAGCTGCCTGAAAAAACCTCCTTTGGCAGCCTGTAACATAACACTATTATTCTATTCTGCCTGTTTATAAAAGGGTGTGTACAACGAGAACTAACCCCACAAATCAGTATACAAATACAAGTGGTTCGGAAACAGGGCCAGCGCTACCAATAAGGCGAACTAGGCGGTCGCCTAGACAGAGTTTCTTCCAGGCATCTCTTCGGGGGAGCGAAGCCCCCCCCCCCCCGAAAATTTTTTACCCCCCCCCCCCGAACGAAATGAAATTTATATAATTTATATAGAAAATATATACTTTTAACAGTGTCCGCTCCCCCGAAGAAAGTCTACCGCCCCCCCCCCCCCGAAAATTTCAAGTGCCCCCCCGAAGAAAAAAGTCTGGAAGAAACACTGCGCCTAGGGCGCTGTTCGTAAGGGGGCGCAAAAATGTGAAATTATTACAAAGTACCTAATAATTGATAACTTTGATTAGATTACATTAACTATATACAAAAGGCGTAGCGATCTATTTAGACCTATATATAAGTATACGCGTTGGTGAAAATGCGCCCCCACCTCCCTGATTTGAAAAGATCGGGGGCGCTGTGTTTATTCCAGACATTTTTCTCCGAGGGGGGGGGGGGGGCACTTGAAATTTGAGGGGGGGGGCGGACTAAAATTTCTGGGGACGACAACGACGACACTGTTAAAAGTATATATTTTCTATATAAATTCCATTTCGTTCGCGGTGCGGTAGACTTTCTTCGGGGGGGGGGGGGGGGGGGTGAGGAGGGTTCCGTTCCCCCCCCCCCCCCCCCCCCCCCACTTATTAGTTGCCTGGAAAAAGGAAACTCTGTTTTTAACAGTCTTTGTCTTTTTACTTTCTCGTATACCGAGTATAGAGGAAGTATGTATATACTTAGGGGGGGGGGGGGCGCCAAAATGGTTTGGAAAAACAAATTGAAAGTTTGAGGGGGGGCGCCGGGAAGGTCGTTACGATTCTGTATATATATAAAGAGGCCCGAAAAAAAATTGGAGGGGGGGGGGGCGTTTTTATAAATTTTGCCTAGGGCGCTAAATACCCTAGCGCCAGCACTGATCGGAAACGGAGTCGCAATACTTTTTTAGGCTGCTTCTGTGGCCTTGAGTGAACAACTTGGCAGGCAAGGTTGTAGTGAAAATGTCAAACGTAAGAAGTAACACACTCCGGTAGATATAGTCACCGTTGCTCCATCATAACCATACAGTGGCGTAGCGAGGGTGGGTGTCACCCGGTGCGGCACTTAATGGTGTCGCCCCCCAGACGCGTAGGCGGCCCTTCCCGGCGCCAAACTTTCGATTTGCACCCCACCCTTGTCGGAATTTGTCAAATTTGCTTTTAAAAGACTTTTTAACACTCGAATTAATCACTTAATTAAGTGGAATTATCACTTTTCTCTTTTTTTTTTTGCCGTGTCACCCCCCTAAATGGTGTCACCCGGTGCGGTCCGCACCCCCCGCCCCCTTGCTACGCCACTGCAACCATACATCGGGTTTAAAGTTTTCATATTAGTGTCACCCCCCCCCCCCCTTTTTCTTTGTATTGGAATAGGATGGTGTCTGTTTTTAAATTTGTATTTATCTCATATAGGCCAGATAATGTTAGGTATTAATACATAATTTAATCTATGAATTATCTCATAACTGGGGTGGGGGGCGTTAGGGCACCACAGTTGATTGTTATAATCTTTTGCCAACTATCTCAGGCCTCTGCTGTTTCATCTAAAAACTCGGCAACAGGCGGATCTCCTCCATACGCGTTCGTCTTTGTCTCCCCTGCCTTACAAACAATACAAAATAAACGAGTGAATAAAGTATTGTTTTCTCCGTGGCTTAGTGTTTTGAATCTTCCTCTTGGCACCCCCCCCCCCCCTCGGGAAATGGTGTCATCCGGTGCGGCCTGTTAAAACACCATGAGTCTACTGCCATATATGATATAATAAATAATATACAGCAATCTTTGATACATTAGCAACCGTTTGCTTTTTTGGTCAGTGAATCATTTGGCAACATTTAGACCACTCACGATATATGGGTTTACTTACCTTTATTATTTATGATACTTTAATGTGCATGCCTTTTAGTATTTTATATTACATTTCTTGCACGTAACACTTTGTGGGACGGTGTTGTAGAGCGCCCGACTGCTAGCCCGAATGTAGTACTGTAGACTAATCGAGTTTGAATCTAGTTTAAGCCTACACGACGTCCACCCAGTTATGATGAGAAACTGACTCACTCACGGTAGGCATAATGCTAACCACACTATCTCCCTTCTTATACCGAGGTCAAGAAACATAATCTGTACTTATGGACCGTTAGGTCCGCAAGATGAACTTTACTTCATTAAGCACTCAAACATTTAGTTATTATTACGATACAACAAAAAAAAAAGTTTTTTAACTGGTGATACCATATCTTTATAATTATTTCTCACAGCAATAACTTAAATACGTAGCTACCCATCTCAACTCACACAAACCAATTGCTAAAACGTGTATTCAGCCACACGCTATTTTAAATTATCAGCAGCAGGTGCATGCGTTTGTAGAGTCCCAGCCTACAAACAATACACAAACTATGGTGATACTAATGGCGGATAATGTCCACGGCTTGTATTGTAATTTAATCTTCTGTGCTTTTATAACTAGTATAACAGTAAGCCATTTTGAATACTACTGACAATGTGTCACAGTAGGCCTAGATCTATATATTTTGTGGAAATATAATTTTCAACGTATGGTAGTATATTGGTAGTAAAATAATTTGGTCTCAAGTAATAGTATGCTATTTTCAAATAACAAGGTGATTAAAATATAAATACTGCACTTAACTTTAAATTCTTCAGCTAATAGTTCAACCTAAATTACAAAAGGCTATTAGAAGACTAATTATGATTTTAACTAATAAAATTAAGTTTTCTTTGAAATGTTGAGTGGTTTAATTATAATTAATGGAGGCAATATTCTTTTCAAATTGTTATGTTAAGGCTGCTTTTTGCATTTTGGTGCAAGTTGAAAGATTTTCAAGTTTTTACCACCATGAAGTATGATGAAGGTATTCATTGTGATACATGAATCTGAATAGGCCAATACATATTGCAATCACATTTTTATTTATATAATGCTGAACTGATGACCACACATGAATGTCTTAGATTATTTTTCTATTCCAACTGCGCCCTTGATCATTCTGATGTACGAGGTAAGGCTCACAACGTTCATGGCACCCGACCTTGCAAGCAGGACACCAGTGTCTTGTCCGTTTTCTGCCCCTGTTGCCTTGACTTCTGTCACTGCAAACAAAGCAGTCCCTCTCCTTCTTGCCCTCCAATAAAACCAGCCGGTGCACAGTGGTGTCTGCATCTAGCAAGACGCGGTGAAAGCCAGGTGGGGGAATGGTGCCACAGAGAGACTGCACAATAGGAAGAATGAATGTATAGCGTCAGATCAAACTCTTTCAACACTCCGGTTTAAATTAAACTATTTTACTGATTAATTATCAAAATTAATTATTTACTCTTAAAGAAAATGAAGAGAAACGAGCTGACTTGGCAGAACATTTATTCAGAAACAAGTTGATAAATGATTACTTTTTTTTATTATGACATATAAATTAAAATGCACTTTGGATTTAACTATTAATATTAATAAACATGGTTAGTCAAATTATTTTAATTTCAAAAATAAAAACATAACAATATTCACATTCTATATTAATATTATTAATGATAAAAATGCTAAAAATCTATGGCAAAACAAATAATACCATTACTTATAACTTTTAAGTGTTAAAATTTTTTGATTTAAAACAGGGTTTAAAAATAAATAAATTCAATAGCATTAAAATGTATTGCTTGAATTTGAATCTTTAGTTTGAAAAATGTTCTACAATCCTTTAAACCTATTTCCTCACCCAAACACTGGGTTTATTGTTTAAATAAAGTCAACTAATTTGATGAAAAACCTTTGCCAGCAAAAAATGATAAGCAGTAATTTTTGGTAAAACTATTCCAGAAAACTTGTTTTATGTACACCTAACCAATGTCTCTTTAAATGGTGCTTGTGTGTAAATTTGGCATCGCACACATCACAAGCAAATCTGCGCCCAGCATGTGATTCAATATGTTTATGCAAACCACTTCGAGAGAAAAATCCCATATGGCATATTTCACAAGTTAGAGGTAGAGCCTTGGCATGTCTATGCTCTGAGTTCATATGTTTCTGATAGAAAATTCTAGATTCAAGCAAAGTATCACATAGTGGACATTGTATGGAAGAGATTGGTTCTGATAAATACTGTGCTGTAGAGTTAATTTGTTCACTAACCATCTGATACATGGCTTCATACTGCTCTGTTGCAGCCATATCAGGGCATATTTGAGATGAAGAATTAGTTGGAGAAAACAGCTTCAGGCCAGTATTATGCTGCCTTGCCATGAGGCTCTTTTCTTTTCCTCTATGCCATTTCTTAAAACGTCTCCTTCCTGCAACAATATACACACACAACAAAAACATCAGTCTTGTAAATAATGGGATAAAGTTTTATAACTATCCAATGTGGAAGTTGAGTTTTGTTTTAAAATTTAACAAACCTAGCACTGGTGTCAAATTAACGCCAGATGATTGTCAATGTCAGTTATTTTACAACAGCTTTCTTGGGTTAGTTTACAAAAAAAGTATCGGAAATTTTTAAATACTGGCATACAACAAATGTACAATGTTTTCAGTAAATAACATGTTCATAATTTTAATCACTATCAGCACAAAGTAAAAATGTATAATAAAAACAAGAGAAACCTGGTAAAAGTAAATAATGATAAAACTAAATTTAAATGGTTCAGATTTTAGCAGTTCAACTTGCTACATTTCAGGAATCAAGAGATGCCATTATTTTCTGCACGTTTCGAGATGATATTTGAACCTCTCATTATCAGACAGGTCAAATGTCAAAAGACACACTGGACACAGTAACATTTTGTGAACATTAGTCACATGATCTTTCAGGTGATGTTTATGCTTGAATCTAAAATCACAAACAGGGCACACAAAATTCCTTCCTCTATGGGCTTCCATATGAAAACCAAGACCACCCCTGCTCCGAAAAGTTTTACCACATATGGTGCAGCTGAACTGCATATGGGAGCGCGACAAATGCCACTTGTAAGAAGCCAGAGTATAAAACTCCTCTGGACACTGAGGGCAACAGATTTTGTTACCAGGCTCAGATGTGCCAAGAGAAGGGATAGCAAACATATTTGGAGGTGGCAACTGAAAGTGTGAACCAGGGGGCTTGTTAAACATGCGTGGAATATTCCTGGCTTCTTGCTCCGATGGAAACATTTCTGAAATACAAAAAATAACCCTGAATGCAAAAGTAATATAATATTAATTTTTGATGGAGCAATAAGGTTATCTAAAGTCAGTCAATTAAAACATTTTGATTTAACAACATAGACGCAGTGCAGAGATTTTCTGAGGTGGCAGAGCAATCCATGTTTTCATTCTTATTGGCTACATGCAATGTAAGACATGTTGGTTAAACTCATCTCCAAGGCTAAAAGTTTCTGAGCAGGTTGGACACTGAGCCAGCTTATGAATGCTTTTGAGATGTTGCTTCAGGTGGCCTTTTTGTTTGAACTTAAAATCACAAATTGGGCACATAAATTTCCTCCCCTCATGCGCCTGCATGTGATTATTCAAGCCAGATGATGTCTGGAAACCTTTCCCACACAGAGAGCATCCGAAAGGCATTTCAAAGCTATGGAACTGAGAAAAGTGTTGCTTGAGTGAGTCCTGAGGTACAACATCGTTGCAATAAGGGCACCTCTTTTCAGCAGAGGGAAACATTTCCCCTGTTCTCTGCCTAGAGCTTTGAAAATAAACTTGCTCAGAGGAGGGACCCTGGTGAACATTTGAAATATGTGGCTGACGTCTCTTTCTTCTAGTCAAAGGTTCTGAAATAAAAAAAAAGGCAGTCTGATTCATTTGTTGAAGTTAACCAAAGACCATTTCTGTTGTTTCCCCTAACAATTTACTGCTACAAATGTTAACAATGCAGAGTTTTGTGTACTTCAAGGTTCAAGATGCAGGCGCTTTACATTATTCTTTGGTTTGTACAATGGAGTACATGCAGATTAAACTCAGGTCCAATTGAAAATATCTGCAGACAAATGGTGCATTTATCTTTTTTGTGAACAGCATTCAGATGGCGCTTCACCAGACCTTTTTGTGATAGTCTGGCATCACATATAGGGCAAGGGAAAGTTTTTCCTTCATGAGCTTGCATATGAAAGTTTAGTCCCAGTCGAGTCTGATATCCTTTTCCACACAAAGTACACACATAAGGCAGTTCATGTCCATGTTTTAAAGAGAGATGAACTGTGAGCTCATGTTTGCCAAAAAAGGACTCGGGGCAGAAAGAGCAAGGAATTTTAGACATAGTGTTCCTCATTGCAATGTACCCAGCAGTGCTTGGATGCTTTCTGTTGTAAATTGCAATTGAATTAGACGGACTGCTGAATGGAGGTCTCATGAAACGTTGTTGGTATGCAAGTTTGCGCTCTGAAAAAAATTGAAAAGACATTCTAAAATTGGTGCATTTCCTCAGAAGAAAGCAGAAAATTTCTTTTTTTTTTTTGCATAATAAATTAATAAATAATTTCTATCAGTATCAAATCTGAAAGTCATGTACAAATCAACTTTGCTGATTAACAATGCACTGATTCCTCTGCCAGATCCACAATCTAGAAATGGTTTAGAAATAACTAAACTGTAGGCCTCTGACAATGAAGCACATGTTTATCATATTCTGAGCCAAGTCTAAAAACAGCCGAGCAGACAAGACACTGTGCCATTTGATGAACTCCTCTCAAGTGTAATTTTATAGTTCCCTTTTGTGTAAATTTCGCATCACATATGGGGCAAAAGTAAGATTTTCCTTTATGTGCTTCCATATGTAGGTTAAGTCCTGTTGTGGTGAGATATCCCTTTCCACAAAGATAACAAACAAAAGGGTTTTCTTTGCCATGAGCTTCAAAAGAGTGGGTATTGAGAGTAAAATAATCTCTAAACACTGCAGGACACAGCTGACAACAAAGATTGACAGGTGTAGTCTTAGGTCTGCGAACATGCATTCTAGCTTGTTGAGGGCTTGGCTTACGTTGAACAGACTGACTTAAAATTGGGTGAGATTTTTTACCACAAAATTTTTTTTGTTTGGAATCATTCACACCTGAAAATAGATTGTAAGAATTCACTGATCAAGACATTTTTTGACCAATACATTTTACATACAATGGACCATATATAATTTACAAAGTTCTGAACAGCAAAAATTTAAAAAAAAAAAAATGTAATTGTTAGGACCAAATTTTTTTCGGCAAACAATACTTCTTTGAATCAGTATAAACCTTAATACACTTCCAACAGGTATTTAAATAAATGTTTTACTGTTAATACACAAGGTGATATGTATGTATGATGATAACTGATTTCTGTAAACAATTTTTTTTTAAAGTGCTAAGAATACATTAATTAACATTAAAGTACATCAAAAAGGGTAAGCAAAAGCTTTTGTTCTTGTTTAAGTAGTCTATTATTTCTGTGCTCCACAATACAGTACATGATCATTAAAATCTGGGCCAAGCTTCAAAACAAGAGAACACGTTGGACACTGGCCAGACATGTGAACAAACTTGAGGTGTCTTTTGAGTGTGAATTTTCTAGAAAATTTGTTGTCACATACAGGGCACAAAACTGTTTTCCCTTGATGAACATCCATGTGATTGCTTAATCCTGCCTGACTCTGGTATCCTCTACCACACAATGTACACACAAAAGGCATTGATGATCCATGCAATTTTGAAATATGAGCCTTTAAACAATCTGCTGGTATAGGCTTCTGACAAAATGGACACATTTCATTCATATAAGGCATATCATAGGAGTTTCCCATTTCTTTATATCCAAGACTATGATGATCAGATGAATAATGAGAACTGCTAATACTCGAACGATGTCTTTGATGCTTTAACATAGACGAGGGATCTGAAAACAAAGAATTTTTTTCTGTAATTAATCACCTAAAATTCCTTGAACAGCATGAGGGTGTAGATTAAACATGAATTATTTGTTACAATACAACAAGTGCAGATTGTATTCAGGCCCAGCAAGGAGCACAGTAGAGCATTTAGAACACTGAGCTGATTTGTGTACCATTTTCATGTGCCTTTTTAAATGATAATTACGGAAGAATCTTTTTTCACAGATGGCGCATATAACATTTTTTCCTTTGTGTACATCCATGTGGCAAATGAGGCCTGCGTGGCTAAGATAGCCGCGGGAACAAATGTCACAAGTATATGGCATTGTTTTCCCATGTAATTGTGAAATGTGTATTTTTAATTGAGATTGCTGTACAGCCTCCATGCAATGCGGACATGAAACAAGAGAACTTGGTGACCAAACAATGTCATTTGTATTTTTGGTATCTGGCTGAGGGCGAATTCTTTCCTGTTGTGCCTGAGATGTAGAGGCAGCCATGGTTGAGTAATGTGTGTGTCTATGCTGCAGGTGATCAAATTCATCTGAAATCAAAGAGTTTTGAAGTTGATTGATCCATCATAAAGATCTCTTATAATATCTGGAACATATAGCAATTTTTTGGTTTAAAACAAGACTTGCATGGGATTATTGTTTACAATATAAAAGATGAAGGTTAAATTCCGGGCCAGCTTTGAAAGTGGCATTGCATTTTGAACACTGGGCGCAATTGTGAATGAGTCGCATGTGTCGATTCATGGTGAAGCTACGGGAAAAGCTATGATCACAGATTGGGCATTTAATAGATTTTCCTTCATGTAGATCCATATGACGAGAGAGGCCTAAACTTGTTTCATAACCTCTGCCACACAATAAGCAAACATATGGCATTAATGAACCATGAAAATGTGACAGGTGCACTCTAAGGTTGCCTTTGTAGAGAGTCTCTGAGCAATGAGGACAAGTCACTATAGTGTTTCCATCTGTTTGTTTGTTTGCTAAGTTTGTGTTTTTGCTTGAGGGAGGCATCATGCCAAAACCTAATGATGGTGAATATTTTCCTAAGTCATATCTATTTTGTCGTTTCCTTGCTGTAACACCTGAAATCAAAAGAATGTTGATAATTCAGTGGCCCATCTGTGTCCTCAGAACATATGCAGGATACACACTATAGCTATGTGTCAGCAAACATACTGCTAGTTAATAAGCAAATCATAAAACAAACCAGGTAATGAAACATTTTAATTTTTAAGTGATAATTACACATTTGTTGAAAATTTGGTATCATATGATTTCAAAACAAGGACAGGCAATGTTAACGAAAATAAATCTTTAAAAAATAACATCAGAACATTTCTTGAACAAAATTACAAAACTAATTACATTAGTGTTGGATTTTCCACCAAATAATAGTAAAATAAATATTCATTTTAATACAACTTGTATAACAATATATCAATGTAAACCCTATTTGTTACAAATCATTTTTTCACATATTTACATTCCAAGGTTCCCACATATTTCTATATGACTTCTATACTCAGAACCTAACTTAAACAGTGATAAACAGTTGGAACACTGATCTAAACCATGAACTGATCTTAAATGAGGTTTGACAGTAAACTTTTGTGTAAACTTTGAATCACAAATGGGGCACGTAAATGTTTTTCCTCTGTGAGATTGCATATGTCGAGCAAGCCCAGATGCACTAAGGTAGCCTCTCCCACACAATGAACATGAGTATGGCATTTGGTTCTTATGATAGTGAGACATGTGGGCCCTAAAAAGTGACATATCCTGAAGAACATCTTTACAAAAAGGGCAGCTTATTTGTCCTAAAGTAGAACCATGAAATGAGGGAAATCGTTGATGCAGCCGCCTTTCTCTAGATTGACTTTGTGTATCTGAAAGAAACAAAATCCAGTCTTCTGGGTGCAATCCTTTAAATTGATAGCAAAGAATCAAAGCAATGTAGTACAAATAAAGAGGAGATTTGAGTCCTTCAATGACAATTTATATAATAAAGAATAAAATCAATAGCAAAAAAAAAAACTGTATATGGTTATGCTTCACACATATTAAGAGTATTATGTTACAGTGATTTTTTAAAAGGGATATTCCATTTAACTTATTTGCCCACAATAGAGAACATGTTGATCATATTCATCCCCTAGCTTAAATACAGCATAACAAGAGACACAACGAGCAGATTTGTGGACTGTCCGCAAGTGAGACTTGATGGAGAACTTGTGTGTAAATTTGGCATCACAAACTGGACACATGAATGTTTTCCCTTTGTGAGACTGCATATGGTGAGCTAAGCCCCTGGGAGTTTGATAACCTTTCCCACAAAGTTTACAAGATACAGAGAAATGATTTGAAGTTATATGACTCCTTAAAGTAATCACATCATGAAACATAATTCCACAATGGGAACATTGGAAATTATTGAGAGATTGACTAAAGCTCGATGATTTCTTCTGAATATTTCTCTCATTTACAAAAGATGAATGCCTCGGGGGAAAATATTCTTGCTGACTGATATCAAAATTAGTCGGATCCATTTCCCCTGAAACAAAAAGCATTTTCAATTTACTAAACAATGTTCAAAAACTGTTGTTATTCTGGAAAATTAATCCCAATATTTTAACTGCCATCTTCAATTGCACTTCTGTAGCATAAATCTGTAATTACATGTTTAACAACAATAAGAATTTTGTTGAGTTTTATTCAATAAAAATATATTTCAACTTAAAAAAACAAAAATTTAAACAAAAATTTAAAAAAATCGAAGTTGATAAGCAGTTTTATTGGATGTACATGAGGCCTTGCCATTCATATAATTAAACATTAAACAGCACACAAGCATATAAAAATTTCCCACACCATGCCAAAGGAAACAATTTTAAAAATATAACAGAAAAATGCACTATTTAAAAAATGTACTTGGATGGTACAAGTTTTTATACTACTATATAAAACTTAACACAGTTACATACACAATGTTTTAAAAATGGTTTTCAAACACTGGTGTATTGAAACTGACAGAAATAATAGTTCAGTGACCACAACTAACAACATGTTGTGTGTAATCTTGTCCAAGTTTAAAAATTCCACTACAAGTGGGACACTTTGCTGATTTATGTAATTTCTTCACATGCAGCTTGAGAGAGGAATCTCTAGTAAATTTCTGATCACAAATAGTGCATATGAATTTTTTCCCACCATGTCTCTGCATATGATAATGAAGACCCATTGATGTTTGATAGCCTTTGCCACACAAGGAACATGTATATTGCATAAAATGCCCATGTCTGTGTGATATGTGATTTTTCAAGTGAAAATTGTCTGGAAGAATTTCAGTACAATGAGGACATTGAAAGCTAGTCTGCCAGTGGTCTTGAATTACACCTTGTTTGGATACTCCTGAGCTATTTGAAGTTATAATATTTAACCTTGCGGAAGAATCAGGAATTTGTCTTTTATCCATAGTGTAGTCTGAAATAAGAGTAAATGTCATATTTCTATTTCGAGTCATATTCACGGGACATTTAGTATTTAGGGTGCTACACAATTTAAAATGTGACTATTAAATTCTGCACCAAGCATAAAAATATGAGAGCAAGTAATACATTTCCCTGAATTATGGACATTTTTCAAATGCATCTTCAGCGAAAACTCTCGAGTTAGCTTGCAACTACATATTGGACAAGCAAATATTTTCCCCTGATGAGCTTGTATATGGTATCTGAGACCCATAGCTGTTTGATAGCCTTTACCACACAAGGAACATGTAAATTTCATCAGATGCCCATGAAAACGCGAGATATGATTTTTTAAATTGAATTCATCTGGTAAAAGTTCAGGGCAGTGAGGACAAGGAATAATTTCATTCTGATTATTAAATCCTTTCTGCATTCTTGGTGTATTTTTAGTTCTCAAAATATGTGAGTTTAGAACAGAGGTGCTTTGTTGGAAAGATGGAAAACGTCTATGCCTCTGCCTGCTATAGATTGTCTCTGAAACAGACAAATATAGAAAAAATCTGTTTCACAATGTATGTCCACATAACTTTAATACAGAAACTGTATTGGCTTTTACAGAACAATAATCTTAAATATTTAATCAAAATTATCATGTAGTAAGAGAAAAAATTACAAAAAAGTAAATACTTTTTAAAGATTTCAAATCTCAATTTTTTAATTCACTGCAATAAAGCTTGAGAAAATAATTCAAGAACTAAAAAGAAGATATAGTTATCACTGTTATATATAATATACACCAAATAAAATTTAAAACTATTTTTTGTTTACAATAATTAGAAGTTAAATGTCATATTTATAAACAATGCTTTAAATGTTGGTTGTAGTCTTGAAACTTTACTATTGTCAAGCATTTAGGACATTGAGCTGCACTGTGGACTCCCATCAAATGGCTTTTAATAGTGCCTTTGCGAGTAAATCTGGCATCACAAATTGGACACTGAAATGACTTTTTCTCATGTGATGCTTGCATATGATAATATAGACCAGATGAACTGAGGTAACCTTTCCCACACAACGAGCATGAATATGGCAAAGCGATGCCATGATCAGATTGAAGATGGTTTTGTAGAGTAAATCCATCCTGAAAGGTCTCAGGGCAATGAGTGCAGCAGTGATTCTCATTTGGGGAATGGAACTGATGAGTATAGTTTCCACTACTTTGAGGTGATGATAATGGTATTTCAGTTGATGTAAACAACTTTTTAACTTTAGGAGATCTTCCATTACGAAATTTTTCCTCTGAAATAAAAGAAAGGTATTTCATTGAATCCGGTAACCTTTTTGCCTTAGTCATAAGAAATAATGTTTCTTTAGGATGAGCAGCCTTGTTACATCTAATAAACCAAAAACCTATGCTGTCTTACAATTTAAAACATGAATATCGTATTCTGGTCCAATTTTTAAAATTGCTGAACATTCTGGGCATTGAGAAGACATGTGTATTCCCTTCAAGTGTGTTTTCATTGTACTTTTCTGAGTAAACTTTGAGTCACAAACAGGGCACAAGTAAGCTTTCCCCTCATGAAGTCGCATATGATGATTTAGTCCAGAAAGACTTGCATAACCTTTACCACACAGAGTGCATGTAAATGGCATGCTATGTCCATGAAACTGAGACATATGAGCTTTTAAAGCTGCTTTGTCTGGAAGTATTTCAGGGCAAAAAAAGCAATGTGGGAAAGGTGTAAAACCAATAGGAGCTGGATAACTAGGAAGTGTGCTTTCAGGATGTCCTATGGATGAATTAACTTTTAAACCATGCCCATGAAACCTGTGCATTCTTCTGCTTCCGTGAAAACTATCCTCTGAAAAAAAAATATGTATTTGTTTTCAAATTTTACATAGCTGAGGATTTCTTTGTTGTTTTTACTAACAATGACAAAGGGAAATATCTGTACATAAAGTCAAACAAAATATGCAGTATTTACATAAGCTTAAAATGCTGATACATTAATAATCACAACGAAAGAAAGCCAAAAATGGAACTAATAAAACGTTCTTAGTGATAAATAATTTTATTGTGAACTAGAGAGAATTTAAAAAGGGTTTTCTCTCACTCATCAACTCTCATGCATCTAAAAAATTTTTTTTTAACAATTGCTGTGTCAAGTTGATTAGACCAACATTATTTAAAACTATCACCCTATTTGGTTGTATACCAATACAGTATGAGAAAGTTAGTTGTTTAAAAATTCAAGTTCCTTGACCACAGTGTAATATATGTGAATCAAATTCAGGGCCCATAGGAAATATTCCTAAACATAGTCTGCATTCTTTTAAATTGTGAACTCCCTCTATATGGCGCTTAAGGTGGTGTTTATGTTGAAACTTAGAATCACATACAGCACACATAAATTGCCGTCCTTTGTGTGCTTCCATGTGATGGCGAAGGCCAGTCAGTGAAAAGAATCCTTTCTGACAAATGGTGCAAATAAAAGGTAGAGCACCTTCTTCTCTGTGATTGTTGTTGAGATGTTTTTGATAAAGAATACGAGTTGGGAAGGTTTCCTGGCAATAGCTGCAGTTATATGAATCAGAATTTAAAATAGAATTTCGTGAAAGATCACTTTGAACAAAGCTTTGTTCATAAAATGAAGGTCTTGAAGTAGTGGGTAAATGAGGTGTTTGACGGGAATGAAAATTACGATGTCTCCGATTTGAATATCGATGTGATAGTTTATTTCTGGACACGGCAGCAAAATCTCCTGAAACAGAATCAATTTCCCATTTTAAATTCTATATCAAAATATTTTTTTTCTTCAAAAAACGTAATAGGGTTATAATCAGAACAAAATAGTGTTAGCATACATTGTTTACAGCATTGAGATTAATGGAATACACCAGCAAATTGTAATTCACACCATGAACATACAGCTTGTCTTTATGCATTATTTTTCTTATTGGTTGAGCATGACACAATATGCTGATTAAATTCTTGACCCTGTTGAAAGTAAGATTCACAATAACGACACTCTTTTAGCATATGAGCTCCTTCCATGTGGCGTCTCATGATAGTCTTGTGCTTAAGTTTGGCATTACACACAAAGCATGTAAACTTTGGCCCACCGTGTGTCTCTTGGTGATAACGTAAACCACTTAAAGTGAAAAACCCATGCTGGCACTCGTCACAATTAAAGGGAAGCATCTTAGCTTCTTTGTGATGTTCATTCATGTGTTTCTGAAATATACTTGCACTTCCTAATGGCTGACTACAGAGAGGACACAAATCTGTGCTGTTGGATGAGTAGGAATCTGAGACAGAATATCGGTTGTGTGTACTCTCTCTTGGCTGCGCCTTTTGAAAATGAAATGAACGTGCTGGCAATAAAGTTGGTTCATAATTTATAGTATGTCTACTTTCCTTGGTTCTGATAGTTTTAGTTCTTCGTGTAGGAGCTTGATTAGTATCAACACAATAGCTCTCTGAAATACAAGAGTGCCAAACTCAAATGAACATGATTGTATTATGTTCGTGTGGTAATAGGTCTTTTTTAAAAAGTGTTATAATTTTAAAGTATTATTATATATTAATCATTCCGTACAAATATTTTTCTCTTAAAAGCTAAATGTGTTTGATAAATATTAACAATAACAAACAAGCAAGTTGTAAAAATAATCCAACTTTTTAACTGTCACAGATATGAAAACTATAGGCTTCAGAACTGAAAAGTTTATTGCAATTCAAACATCGACACATTTTGTGGACACCTGCTTCGTGACGCTTTAAATGATGTTTATGCAAAAATTTATAACCACACACTTCACACTGATATTTTCTTCCCATGAAATGTGTATGCTTGTGAAGCCTCATTCCACTCAAAGAAAAAAAACCTTGTCCACAAACAGAGCAGCTATATGGCAAAGCATGTGCATCTTTATGAAGTAGATTCATATGGCGTTGCAGAAGTGCATTGTTCCGTATTATTTCTTGACATAAATTACACCTATACTGTAGTCTACCATCAGGATCACTTAATTCAGAATAAGGCAGAAGAGAGTTATCTGATTGAGAGGTATAGCCAGTGTCTAATTGTGGATCTTTTGACAAATATGAAGTGCTGGAAGTTCTTTTTGTTCGCAAAAAATGGACAGGAACAACTGGAGATATATTTTCAACTGGCAACACAGACTTCTTATTTACATGCCAGTCTGAAATAAATAATGCAAAGTATTCATCTATTGTTCCTCAATCTTCTGAAGGATTTTTAAAAAGAAAATTTAAAATAGCAGATTATGCTTTACATGTATTTTCAATTCCCTTTCTCACATAAATAAATTAAAAATAAAAAGTACCATTTATTATGATATTCACTGATTCATGCAGCTAAAACTTAACAGAAATCAACAGAATAAAACCAAATCCACGTTCTGAATATGAATATCCATAGTACAGTGAATAAGTTGGTCTATTTATTTTAGCAGGCAAAAATGTTAAGTTTTACTTCAAGTGAAAGCTCCATGTGCTATTTTTTGGTGGGCCGTTAAAGATGTTTTGTGAGCATACTTTGAGCCACAGAGATTGCATTCAAAATCTTTTTGTTGCATATGCAGAGACATATGAGACTTCAAGTGGGACTTTTGCTGAAAACCCTTGCCACACATTGAACAATAATGGTCAAAGAAACCACAATGTTTTATTCTGTAGTGCAGACGGGCTCCTGCTGGAGATTTGTACTTTTTGCCACAAGATGCACAAGAATACACATGATTAAATCTGTCATATAAAACAAAGACTTCTTTAGAATCTTTCTGATCTAAGTGATGACCAGTTGATTGTGTGCGCAAAGAAGCATTATGCGAGTTATAACGATGTGAAAGAAGTGCTGTTTGGGTTAATGATGAAGACACACTATCTGCAATAAAAAGAGTTTATAATTGATACAGTTTGCAGATTGTAGATTCATTGTTGAATCTTATAAATCTGTCTTAAAAAGTGTGTGTTAAAATTAACTCTTAACACATATTCCTTTCTTTTCTATAATTGTTTTAGAAAGTCAATTTATCACCATCTATGCCAGTAGCAAACTAAAACTATGTGGAACGATAAGCTACAAAAATTGTTTTTTTTACAAAAGTCTCATTATCATTAAGCATACTTAACAATTTTACAACAGTTGAAGAGAAAAATAAAATCTGAGACATTTGGCTATACAAATACATGTAGAAAATATTCCATAATAAAACTTAAAAAATTAATGAAATAATGGCACTATTAAAAGAATCAAACCCAATAAAAATATTTAACTTAAAAAATACAGTTGTGATAAAGAGATATTTAAAAGTAATAATTGTACAAATTTTAGAATCATTTTCAAAAATACAAATTTCAAAACATCCAAACAATACAAGATATGGTCATTGTTAATGCTGCAAGTAATGTCAAAACAATTATCATTTGCACTGCAATTCAATGAATATTAGCATTTAAATGCAAATATCTAAGACAAACTGAGCAAATTCAAAGAGTAAACAAATACATGATTTACTTAGCCAAATTGAACCCAGAAAATGTTCACAGGGAAAAAGTTAAAAAAAATAAAACCTTGCAATCACATCTGAAAAGAGATACACTACCGAATTGTTTCCAAGCATTGCTTACATAATTGAATTATCAAATCTTGTTTAAATGTAAATGGGGTAAGGTTACTGAATAATTAAGAAACTACTAGAGCTTAATCTTAGTTAATCTTGAACAACAACAACAAGTTTTTTAATGATAACAGAGCTGTTTTTAAAAGCAATTGTAAGCAGATATTTTGAACAAAATTGCGAACATACAATACATTCAAATTTTAGAAAGCAATTATAATTGGTATGGTATTTATAAGTTAGCCATACCCATGTTGTCATAGTTGACATCTCAGATTATGTTTAATTCATTGCCATGATGAAATGTTTAAGTATCTTGACAACTTTTTTTAAAAGATTATGTTATACAAGTTTAAATCGGACAAAATTAAATTTTAATCTTATTTTTTAATTATTAGGAAGCTAAGTTTATTTTAAAAATCACATTATTCAGACAATTTTGAAAATAATTCAAAGATAAAAGATATTTATTAGCTGTTAAGATACCTTTAAAATTTCGTACAATTATAAATAGCAAATTGTATTAAATTGATTTTAATACAGAATAATAACTTAAAAAATCAAACTTTGGTAATTGTTTGCCAATCAAGCTACTATTAACAGTGGAAATCTGCGTATCATAAATAATTAGGAAAAAGCATAATGAAATCACTTTTTTAATAGGTTGATTTGGTACTATTTGTTTTTAACACCCTTAGATATCATTAACCACCACCCCTTTTATTTGACAGTGAAAAAAGTCACAGCTATAAAGGTAGAAGTATAAGTTTTAAGTAAAAAGTAAAGTCCTCCCCACACCTGCTCAGTGGGATTAGAAGCAATATTTGTAGTAAGCCAATGCGATATGACAGCTTTTATATAAAGCAAATCTCTGTTCACCCCTGTGTTAATGATTCACAATTGCCTTTTTTTTAAGAGCTAATGAAGTGCTTACAATAGACAAAGATAAGGCGGAGAATGCAGACTTGCATGAAACTAGGAAAAATATTAGCACAATTCAGTATTTAGATAACAAAATGCATGTAGTTTCCCAAAACAATAATTTTGAGCATTAAAGGCCACCCCCTTTTGTCAATGAGTCTTGTAAGGTTGGGTCAACGCACAAAGTTAAAAGAACTCATTAGATATCCAACAATTTATGATCTAACAGTTTGAATGGCAAACAAATGTGAAAAATAAAAGTATACTTACGAGGATCTCCAAACATAGCTTGCACATCTTCATCTTCATCATCAATTTCAATTACTTCAAACTGACCAGCATCACTGGAGCCTTCTCCTGCATCAGAGTGAACTGAATGAGGATAAGGCATATCTTCATTGCTATGTTCAAATTCTACAGGTGGTTCATCATCATCTGGATGTAAATTAGATTCAGCTAAAGTGTCATCAGCACTTGTACTAGCTATGCTTTGATCAATGTTAGATTTCTTGGTGGATTCATTTGTGTCAGATTCAAATGGAGCAGATGGATCACTATTTTGCTCAGAAGAATTTTGATCAGCATCAGATGGCTCTAGAAAAGTTCCTTTAAAATCAGTTGTGGATGAACCAGCCTCATTAGGAAATTCAGTTTCGTTTGCATCAGAACCATCAGGATCACATTTGATCTGTAATTTTCCGGTTGAGTCAGAATTAAGTTCATCAGTTGGCTCAGAGGTGGAATGTTCAGGATCTTGGGTAGATGCTTGTTCATTTTCTGCATCAAGAGCTTCTTTTTTAATATTAATAAATTGATTTTCAGTATCACTAGCAGCATCTGTTTCAGTACCAAGTGGCGGAAGTAGTGGATGTTTAAAAGTGGGGTCAGATTGACTAGATGGTAAATGGGAATAAGCACTGTTTTGACTCATGTACGTTTCAGATGAGCCCTGAGATTTTTGTTTCTTACTTGATGCTCGCCAGTCTCCAGCCCACTGACGTTTTTGAGGGCCATGGAGTACTTGAGAATGAGGTGAAAACTGTGCTGATGACCTTTGATATTGTGAACCAGAATGAGGTCCCCATGTGCGACTATGGTAAGGTGATGCTTGTCCTTGAAAAGATAATCCTAGTATGGGTGAACAAGATCCATCACGAGTAGGTCTAGGCTGATCTTTTTTTGCCAAAAAACTATTGCTTACAAATGTCATAGAGTTATTTGTACTTTTTAATACTTTCTCATTAAGAACATAGTCAACTTTACTACCACTATCAATGTTAATATTTATGTATCCAACAATTTCAATGCCTGAATCAAAATCCATGCATCCATGACACAAAGCTTGTAAGGATTTACTTAAACTTGAAATAAATCTATTGGCAACTGCCATATCAACAGGGAGTTCAGGCATTGTTTAACCCTTGGTAACCTGGAAAAAAAAGTAAAATTTAATAAAAATCCTAAGCCTAGATCTTATTTTTTGGACTAATAAAAGCTGACAATTTCCTGTTGCTTTATACAATTTTCCTGAGTTTGGATTAGCTCCACTTTCTATACAAGAGTAATATATGGTTGAAAGTAATGGAAACTGCTAAGGAGTGAAAATACCAAAGTACTCCTTAACAATTGTTACATTACAGCCTAAATGTTGGTATGCACCTTCCACTATTTTCAGCCCTAAAACCAACCTTCTTTCTTTTACAAACAGTTAATAAATCTTAACAGTTCATTGCTACTACTAATTAATTTGTACATGTTTGTAGGCCCTACTCTCATTTAGGCTCATTAATTGAAAAGTCCTAATATATGCACATTAACACTAACTTTTTTTTTGCATGTGATTGTGGCTGCTAAAAAAGTATACATTATGCATGCTGCACCATAATGTACAAGTTAGAGGATCAACCAAAAAGGACATCACACTCAATAAGAAGGTATAGGGGGGGGGGGGGGGGGTTGTAGGTTGTTATGTGACTTGCAATTTTAAAGGTGGGAGGTTTGGTTATATGTGGCAAGGTGTGGCAATTGGGAGGGGGGGGGGGGATAATCCTTTTTGGATGACTTACAGAAGCTTTATTTTTAAATTAGGTTTCTTTTGATAAGTTTTTTACAATATTTTTGTGCAGTTTCATTATTTCTGAATCAATTAAGATATTTAATCATTCATCAGTGTTTTCATTCATTGCAGACACTTGGGAAAAAAACCAAACAAAAACCCAAAAATAGCACCTGCAGGTGTGCCCTCTTCAGGTTAGAGATTGTTCCTGCTCTGCTAGAGGAGTAATAATTAATAGCCAACCAAAGTTGGTATTTCAAAAGTGAAACAGAAAGAAATGCATTAGAGTCTATATATTAGATAGAGGCCTATATTCTATAATATTAGAATGGTAGATCAAATCTAGGCTGATTGATCTGGTCATAGCTAGATCTATCAGCTCAGCCAACCAGGCATAAAGCCTGTCCATCACTCTCCACTTCAAAATGTATCAATTTGCATTTCGCGTAGTTTTGCCTATTGAACAATCGCCTTAATATGTTATTGGTATCTATTATAGATTTAGATCTAAATCTAAAAGGCAATAAAAATGTTAGGCCCTACCTAGCGCAGTAACAATGAGAATCAAAGTACACCATCCCCCACTCCCCGCAACTGAGCATAAAAAAAAAACGATGCCCGAGCATAGGGCAATTATCTTGCTAAAAATGGCTAACAACGATTGTTAACTTCACTCACCAATTATTTCATCGATTGAAATAAATGCTAAACAGGAAAGTTTTCATAAATTCTAAAGATAATTCTGTTGAAATGCTTTTCAATAGCGCAATTTGCAATAGCTAAATACAAAGCCGTGAAAATTTAGCATGGCGTCGGCAAGATTGTCAGGTACGTACTGAAATTAAGGCCAAAGTATTTATTTGAAAACTGTGCCTGGTTGTAAAACCATAGTATTTTTCTTCTAAGCCTAGGCCTAACCAGCATAATATGCAAAGGGATAACAAAAGAGATCTAGACTAGAAATAGTAGAATGTTTTGTCAACTCTTACTCAAAAAGTTTAGTAAAACATTTTGTATTATAATAATCTACATATAGTCCTCAAGCGTTAGAGCTATGCTTTAAGAGATGTAAATGTTTTGAAGCTCTAGCCATAGATGCATTTATTATATGGGGGTCTATAGTTATTTTTACTAGCCTATAAAATCCCTATTATTACTTTTCAAAAGTGAAAACAGACTAATAAAGTTAGCTTATGATTAAGTTCAGGAGATTGTATGTACACTGAGTCGTCAATTTGTATTTACTTCTATTTCTTCTTTTATCCTATTAATAAGTGACCTACCAAAAGAATTAGACAAACTATTTAGCCTACCCTGTCCACTTAAAATATATAACACATATATAAGGGCATCATTTAAAAAAAACAACATGTTTGACATTTTTCTTAATGACCTGAAATCCTAACGCGAAAGTTCCTCACGTCACACATCTGATCATCACTGATGACAGAACTCACTCATAGTTAGATATGTGACGTCATTAACGTACGCTACTTTAACAACATCCAAAACTATATTTAGAAATAATTAAAATCTATGACTTATTAAAATAAATGCAAGAGGCTAAATGCAAAATGACGGTGCGATATAAAAATTAAAAGCCATGGAAAATTGAAGGGGGGGGGGTATTATTTCTTCCAATCTTAATCGCCATCGGTGTTAACATATGTGCCAGTGACAAAACTCCAAAACCATCGGACCCCGCACCGCGTGTGTGTGTGGGGGGGGGGGGGGGTGTTTGAGGTGGACTACAGTTGACCATAATTTTTTTTTTAATTTAATTTTCGGGCATTTTTATGCTTATTTTAGAAAAATAAAATACTATAGTTGCGGCTGGATTATCTTTACTCTACAATCACTCTACCGCGCAAACATTAAAAACCACTACAAAAACAATATAATAAAAGATAGGTCAAACTAAAATTTGAATTATTTCTTCCGTGACTTGTTGCTCCCCCTCAGACAGCCAGATAGGGGGCACGTACACGTTCATAAATTGAAATAAATTGGCATTAATATAGCTCCAGCGGATCTCGAAAGTGTGCTTTGGGGGAGGTGCAGGGGGGATGGCTATTTAATGGGTCCAAAAATTGTCGCCAAATTTATTTATTAAAAAAGATACTTATAATTGTATTTTCTTACTTTTTTCTTTGTTTTTAAACAATTGAGAAGGTTGAGTTATCTTTCCCTTAAATAAAACACACGTCGCTGTCGCCAGCAAAATTATTTGAAAACAAAAACAAAGTCCATAGCTCGAGAAGCTTCTTGATGTTTAGAAGAATTTCAAACAGTGCTTCTTTGTTGCGTTGTTTATGGCCCAAAATCCCACTGTAAAATATATGTTTGATAAATTAGTAAAACTGCTATCCTTATCCTACAAATAATAAATAATACAGAATATATAAGAATATGTACCACTAAATTCAGCTCCTTGGTCTCCCGTGTAAGCACCATTGTTTTCTATCACCGTTGCGGAGGGTGATCAGCGTAAACTGACAGTTTGCTCCCAGAACACCCTGGGGCGTCTCAGTGGCAATGTGGACAGACTCGCGCCTGATCAACTAAGAAAGTAAAAAGCAATGTTAGAAAAAGAATTTTAGACGTTATTATGCGTTTTAGAAAACTGTTTTAATAAAGTGTAGGGCCTAATAGGAATTAATTAAACTACTCTATTTTGACAGAGTTCAGACAAGATTTTGGGAAAATATCGATGTTTAAAAAAAAATTCAACTGCAATTTTGAGGGGGGGGGGTGTAGGCTGAGTTTTGTTTTCTTACTAGATATCTAGTTCCGCCACTGCATCAGGCGAAGCTTACGTCCGGCAGTTTATAGAATGAATAACTTTAAAATTTTATTAGAACTATATGCCTTACATATAAACAATATTTTTGTAGATCTAGTAAATCAAATATATACGGATGTCCCGTCGTCAGTTTAAAAATGTCCAAAATGACCCGTTTTTATTCAAATAATGTTTGGACTATAATATTTTGACCTAAATAATGACCTGGTTCTTTTCCGGTTTCAATTCTGGGATTTGTTATTACTTAGCAACGAATGTGTGGCTTGATCGCACTGATGAGTGTCTTCGGATTTTCTCCGAGCGATAGTAAATAAATCGCGTAATTGGCGTAATTTATTGGTTATGGACACTGGAGTTCTTAACCTAGCGTAAGCATTATTTAGAAAATATTAGGCAGAATCTTTGCTGATTGCCACCTACTTTGTTTAGGCCCCCTGTTACGCCTGTAAACTCTGGACTCTATAGTCTATAACTATTATAGGTTAAATTATGGATTTTTTAAAATAAAATATTCTGTTATTTCAAATACACCATTAAGTTCCTTACCCCTTAAGAGAACATTTGACACCACATTTAAATATCTAGCTTACTCGGTTGACGAGAAAAGAGAGAATTTGAAAATTAATCAAAATTGAAAATGAATGACAAAACAGCGTTCTTGGCATAACATGACGTCGTCGACTTGTGTACACGAGCTTTTAATTCCCGCCATGGTAATTGCGTCAGCTTAGGTAATTTACTCACCGGAAAATAACAAAAAGCAACTGGTTGATAATAAAACTAGATCTAGTTATTTTATTATTTATTAAATTCTACTCTACATGTTATTCATACCATTTTATGAAGTAATGAACACCTGCATAAATCAAATGACCATAATAAATATTTTTATTTCAAATTCTAATTTTAAATAATAAATAATAAATATGCTTAAAATAATATGATAGTAACAGTTATGATCGTTTATAAATACAAATACATTTTACACTCAATTCACATTATATTGAGTCAACAGTGTGGCAGCTGAGGTTCATACATGGTATTTTTTTTTTTTTTTTACATTACATTTTTTTTCATCTTGAAAACATGACGTATGTGATTTTTTTTTTTTTTAAATCTCCAAACATCGTCACTCGCGTGATTGCTTGCTTACGTTTACTATCCTGTGGATGAAAAATCCCACCACGGTCGCGGGTCACCGTGAGTTCAGCAGGCCTATAGTACACGTCATAGCATGAACACGCGTACACGAGATGGTCGGTGTCTTCACTTCTCTCTCTCTTTCCCCCCCCCCCTCTCCCTCTAGCCAATTGAAAAACAGACCTACTTCCCTACTTCTGGTCATTTTTTTTAAAAGTTCGGTCATTTTTTTTTTAAGTTCACATATCAGGCATGCAAGACAGCCAGCCAGTGGCGTAGCGAGGTCGGGTGTCACCCGGTGCGGCACTTAATGGTGTCAGCCCCCCCCCCCCCCAAAGGCGTAGCGACTCTTCCCGGGGACAAACTTTCTTTCAAATTTTCGATTTGCACCCCCCCTCAAGTTTTCGATTTGCACCCCCCTCCCCTCAAACTTTCGATTTGCACCCACCCCCTCAAACTTTCGATTTGCACCCCCCCCCCCCTGCAGCCAGCTGTATTAAAAAATATTTTTTAAACTAGATCTACGTCTAGCTTAAAAAAATAAATAAACGCTTAAAATGCCCGTAAACAGATTATTTAGCGCCAAAAAAAAAAAGGCCGCTGAACGAGCATTTTTTAAAATACGCAGCAATGAAATGGGCTAACGGCCGATCAATTAAGTCTAAAAAACGCCCGTAATTAGGCCTAGCTCTGAAAAAGGCCACTGAACGAACATCACTAATTATATAAACGAATAGGCCACGCAGCGTTGACGAGGTTAACCACCGGTCACGAATTAAATTCAATGCAGCTACTGTCGGCCCACAGTGAAGAAAAAATCAATATACTAATAAAATTACTAATACAAAAATAATTTCCATAATTTTACTTTTTCTGCACACGCTACAATTGAATTATAATTAAAATACTAGACTTAACAGTTCATTCCGCAAAAAACAAAAACGAGTTGTTTCTGTGAGGTAACTAGCGTAACAATGACGTCACGATAGTAAACAAAGCGGACAGAAATGTCTGCATGGGTACCTCATATGGAAATTCGATATAAAAAAGGCGAATCAACATAACTGTAATTACTCATTATAAATATCTCAATTATATATTTCTGCATTTGTACCAGGGGGTTTCGACCATGTACTGGGCCGTTTAAGGCGGCAGTTCAGTTTTTCCCAAGAGTACTTGACAAGAATAGCGTGTATTAATTAAAACCACATATCTGGCGATTTTTTTCGGTTATTTTCAGGCATGGCGTCCATTTATTTAGCATATCGCATTAAAATAATGATGAGAATTTGCGATATTAGCAGTTTTTTCATTTGTCGTGGATAGGACCCCTAAAATAAACGTAAAAAACCGTCAAAAAACGACGCGTGACGTTTCAGGGTCAGAGGTCAATCCAGTCATATAAGCAACAATCCGGCCTAAACTATTAATTTTAAATCATTGTAGTAATGTAGGCCTAATAATAAAAATTTAGGCCCCTAAAATTAATTTTATATTTCAGGGTTTTTTACTTACAATTTATGAATTTAACAATTCTTTTAAAACTGTAAGGACATAAAAATATTTTAATTAAATTAGTGAGGACTCTGTTTTCTAGAAAAATAGTTGCAATAAGTTATAATAACAAAACAGACCTCTAACCCAAACAATGGTACAACTACTATAACTCTGGACTCTATAACTATTAATTTTAAATTATTGTAGTAATGTAGGCCTAATAATAAAAATTTAGGCCCCTAAAATTAATTTTATATTTCAGGGTTTTTTACTTACAATTTATGAATTTAACAATTCTTTTAAAACTGTAAGGACATAAAAATATTTTAATTAAATTAGTGAGGACTCTGTTTTCTAGAAAAATAGTTGCAATAAGTTATAATAACAAAACAGACCTCTAACCCAAACAATGGTACAACTACTATAACTCTAATAATCTAATTCTAGTCTATATATTATATTATTATGTAAACTATGATCTGTGTAGTATGTATGTAGCAGTGGCGTAGGCAGGGGGGGGGTTAGGGGGGGGTCATAACCCCCCCCCCCCCATAGACCCCTCGGTATATATAAAAAGTATGAGGGGGGGTGCAAATCGAAAGTTTGAGGGGGGGGTGCAAATCGAAAGTTTGAGGGGGGGGTGCAAATCGAAAGTTTGAGGGGGGGTGCAAATCGAAAGTTTGAGGGGGGGGGGTGCAAATCGAAAGTTTGAGGGGGGGGGGGGTGCAAATCGAAAGTTTGAGGGGGGGGGGTGCAAATCGAAAGTTTGAGGGGGGGGGGGGTGCAAATCGAAAGTTTGTCCCCGGGTAAAAATTGGAACCCCCCCCCTTGAGACGATCCTGGCTACTGGTATGTAGTATGTAAACTGGGGAGTCCTCACCACTGTAATGAATAAAAACACTGCTACTCTCTTTTAATCTCCTTGCCTTTGTTATTTAATGCAAGATAATAAAGAAAAAAGTGAAATTTAAAAATAAGTATTAATTAATCAAGATTAGAAATATACTGAACTTGAGTAAACAGGTTCTCACATGAGTCTTTATATTAAAAACTGAACAGAGCTAGACTATATTTTGAGTTCTTTGGGTCCACACCTCAATATATAACTGCAAAGTTTTAAAAGAAATTTTTTTTTAAATTGTGCCAGTTTGGAAAAAGAATTACTCTTACTCTTAGTAAAAACTATTTCAGCTTGTTACTTACTATTGAAAATGGAAACTTTAAATTTGCATTGTAAAATTTTCCTCAGATTTGTTTTAAGTGATTAATAAATCATATGATTTTCGAATTTAGATTTAGATTGATATTTGTTTTTAAATTGTGCATTCATTCCATATTGTTCAATTCATTACAGTTGTAATTACCTTTTTTATATTGGTGGATGAAAGTTTTAAATTATATCTTACGTTTATGATTATGCAGATGGTGCCAAGGCTACAATGGTTCTCCGCTTTCATTCATTGAGCCAAATGTATTATGCTACCAGTGTGGTAGAAACTTTAAAACTATTTCTACCGATGGCAAACAAAGTTCTTTTGCTTTTAAAGGAACAGCCATTGGGCCTATGGCTGTTCATAAAATAAACAAACACATTGCTGTTGGTGAATATGGAGAGAACCCCAACATTTATGTGTATGCTTACCCAACATACACAGAAATATCTGTGTTGCAAGGTAAAATTGTTTTCTTAAAAATGATTTTAAAGTTTAAAAATGTATCTTCTTCTTCTTCTTGGTTCTTAATTATTAGTGTTGAAGGGGATCGAGATTTATCTGCCAGTGGGTTTGAACTCGAATTTATCAACCATGTGCTTTTTGCCGACTCGACCACGCCTCCAACACAATTAAGCATTACGTGTCAACTGGTTATGCGCCATTGAGGCCAGTGACTCCGATTTCAGCCTGCTTTTCTTTTTGGATTTGCTTCCATAGCCTTTGTCCAACCAAGAACAGACTACAAGGCAGCAGTTGTTTGATTTTGGAGTTGTCTCTCCTAGAAGAGTGGCTGTCCCCAGCTAACGAGCCTCATCTGCCCGAGGGTTCGAACTCGAGACTTTTCGGTTTAGCAATCATGAGCTTAACTGACTCGACCACGCCGACCCCACTAAAAATGTATAAAACAACATATAAATTGAGCTGAGGTGTGATTTTACAGGTCTTAGACTACATTCTTTTTTTTTTATATTAGCCCCTACCAGTCCCTAATTTGTTTTTATACCTCAAAAGCATAATTTTTAAAGAAAAAAAACTAACAAAAGACACTTTCAAAGATTATTTTAAATTTAAATACACTTTGTGTTTTATATTTCACTAACTATTGGGAGGTCTAAAATATTGTTTGCTCCATTGTATTTTTATTAATTTAAATGTGTCAGGTTTAAGTACACCCTCAACATTTCAAACAGTTAAAAAGTTGCCCATAATATTCAACACAACAGTTTTTGTACTGGAACTTGAAACTTTTAGATTAGGGGTCATCCATTTATGACGTCCACAATTTTTTTAAATTTTTGACCACCCCCCCCCCTCCCCGTCACCAAAAATCCACTTATTTATCTTATATAAGCCCATACGCGTCTGCAAAAGTCAATTTTTTTCGGACCCCCCCCCCCCCCCCCCCCCGTGTGGCATCATAAATGGATGACCCCTTAGCTGTACTGTATAATCACACATTCCAATACACACTGTCCTGTAAGAGATTTCAATGCTGAAATGCATTTTTTTTACTTTAGTTTAATTTTGAAACTTTAATTTACTTTTATTAGATGGTGCTGACCTGGAGTTTCAACAGCTGGTTTTTTCTGAAGGAGACCACCTTATCAGTGTTTCTGCGGTTCCTAACTTTACTCTTATACTATGGTAAGATTTTATGAATGCTGTTGCACTTTTATAAAAGTGTTATTATCTCACACAACAAATACAGGCATCAATGTGCAGATTGATGTTATTAATATTACATCATGCATCATATTTTAAAGTATTTTTTTTTTATTATCCTGTCATATTACAGTTAATTGTTTCCTTATTGTACATGTTTTAGTAATACATGATAAATCTCAATTCACTGTTTGTTATTTTTTGTGCTGTTTCTGTAGGAATTACCTAACAGGAACAAAATTGACATCATATGATGTCTCTCCTGAGCCCATATATTCATTATCTTTCAATAAAACTAACTGGAGGCAAATCTGCATGATCAACCCAAACAGTATAACACTGTGGAACATTGAGCAGTGTGGTACAAAATATCTAATGATTCCAAGGTAGAGTAGCATCAATATCTTATGATTCCCACTGTAGAGTAGCATCAATAGCATATGACTCCAACTGTAGAGTAGCTTTAATATCTTATGATTTCAAGGTAGAGTAGCATCAATATTTTATGATTACAAGTTACAGTAGCATCAATATCTTATGATTCCAACTGTAGAGTAGCATCAATATCTTATGATTCCAATTGTAGAGTAGCATCATATTTTATGATTCCAACTGTAGAGTAGCATCAATATCTTATGATTCCAATTGTAGAGTAGCATTAATATCTTATGATTCCAAGTGTAGAGTAGCATCAATATCTTATGATTCCAAGTGTAGAGTAGCATCAATATCTTATGATTCCAACTGTAGAGTAGCATCAATATCTTATGATTCCAAGTTACAGTAGCATCAATATCTTATGATTCCAACTGTAGAGTAGCATCAATATCTTATGATTCCAACTATAGAGTAGCATTAATATCTTATGACTCCAAGGTAGAGTAGCATCAATATCTTATGATTCCAAGGTAGAGTAGCATCAATATCTTATGATTCCAACTGTAGAGTAGCATCAATATCTTATGATTCCAAGGTAGAGTAGCATCAATATCTTATGATTCCAACTGTAGAGTAGCATCAATATCTTATGATTCAAACTGTAGGGTAGCATCAATATCTTATGATTCCAACTGTAGAGTAGCATCAATATCTTATGATTCCAAGTGTAGAGTAGCATCAATATCTTATGATTCCAAGTGTAGAGTAGCATCAATATCTTATGATTCCAACTGTAGAGTAGCATTAATATCTTATGATTACAAGTTACAGTAGCATCAATATCTTATGATTCCAAGTGTAGAGTAGCATTAATATCTTATGATTCCAACTGTAGAGTAGCATCAATATCTTATGATTACAAGTTACAGTAGCGTCAATATCTTATGATTCCAACTGTAGAGTAGCGTCAATATCTTATGATTCCAACTGTAGAGTAGCATCAATATCTTATGATTCCAACTGTAGAGTAGCATCAATATCTTATGATTACAAGTTACAGTAGCATCAATATCTTATGATTCCAATTGTAGAGTAGCATCAATATCTTATGATTCCAAGTGTAGAGTAGCATCAATATCTTATGATTCCAACTGTAGAGTAGCATCAATATCTTATGATTCCAACTGTAGAGTAGCATCAATATCTTATGATTCCAACTGTAGAGTAGCATCAATATCTTATGATTCCAACTGTAGAGTAGCATCAATATCTTATGATTCCAACTGTAGAGTAGCATCAATATCTTATGATTCCAAGGTAGAGTAGCATCAATATCTTATGATTCCAACTGTAGAGTAGCATCAATATCTTATGATTACAAGTTACAGTAGCATCAATATCTTATGATTCCAAGTGTAGAGTAGCATCAATATCTTATGATTCCAACTGTAGAGTAGCATCAATATCTTATGATTCCAAGTGTAGAGTAGCATCAATATCTTATGATTCCAACTGTAGAGTAGCTTTAATATCTTATGATTCCAACTGTAGAGTAGCATCAATATCTTATGATTACAAGTTACAGTAGCATCAATATCTTATGATTCCAATTGTAGAGTAGCATCAATATCTTATGATTCCAACTGTAGAGTAGCATCAATATCTTATGATTACAAGTTACAGTAGCGTCAATATCTTATGATTCCAATTGTAGAGTAGCATCAATATCTTATGATTCCAACTGTAGAGTAGCATCAATATCTTATGATTCCAACTGTAGAGTAGCATCAATATCTTATGATTCCAATTGTAGAGTAGCATTAATATCTTATGATTCCAACTGTAGAGTAGCATCAATATCTTATGATTCCAACTGTAGAGTAGCATCAATATCTTATGATTCCAAGTTACAGTAGCATCAATATCTTATGATTCTAACTGTAGAGTAGCATCAATATCTTATGATTCCAAGTTACAGTAGCATCAATATCTTATGATTCCAACTGTAGAGTAGCATCAATATCTTATGATTACAAGTTACAGTAGCGTCAATATCTTATGATTCCAATTGTAGAGTAGCATCAATATCTTATGATTCCAACTGTAGAGTAGCATCAATATCTTATGATTCCAACTGTAGAGTAGCATCAATATCTTATGATTCCAATTGTAGAGTAGCATTAATATCTTATGATTCCAACTGTAGAGTAGCATCAATATCTTATGATTCCAACTGTAGAGTAGCATCAATATCTTATGATTCCAAGTTACAGTAGCATCAATATCTTATGATTCTAACTGTAGAGTAGCATCAATATCTTATGATTCCAAGTTACAGTAGCATCAATATCTTATGATTCCAACTGTAGAGTAGCATCAATATCTTATGATTCCAACTGTAGAGTAGCATCAATATCTTATGATTACAAGTTACAGTAGCATCAATATCTTATGATTCCAACTGTAGAGTAGCATCAATATCTTATGATTCCAAGTTACAGTAGCATCAATATCTTATGATTCCAAGTGTAGAGTAGCATCAATATTTTATGATTCCAAGGTAGAGTTGCATCAATATCTTATGATTCCAACTGTAGAGTAGCATCAATATCTTATGATTCCAACTGTAGAGTAGCATCAATATCTTATGATTCCAACTGTAGAGTAGCATCAATATCTTATGATTCCAACTGTAGAGTAGCATCAATATCTTATGATTCCAACTGTAGAGTAGCATCAATATTTTATGATTCCAAGGTAGAGTAGCATCAATATCTTATGATTCCAACTGTAGAGTAGCATCAATATCTTATGATTCCAACTGTAGAGTAGCATCAATATCTTATGATTCCAAGTTACAGTAGCATCAATATCTGATGATTCTAACTGTAGAGTAGCATCAATATCTTATGATTCCAAGTTACAGTAGCATCAATATCTTATGATTCCAACTGTAGAGTAGCATCAATATCTTATGATTCCAACTGTAGAGTAGCATCAATATCTTATGATTACAAGTTACAGTAGCATCAATATCTTATGATTCCAACTGTAGAGTAGCATCAATATCTTATGATTCCAAGTTACAGTAGCATCAATATCTTATGATTCCAAGTGTAGAGTAGCATCAATATTTTATGATTCCAAGGTAGAGTTGCATCAATATCTTATGATTCCAACTGTAGAGTAGCATCAATATCTTATGATTCCAACTGTAGAGTAGCATCAATATCTTATGATTCCAACTGTAGAGTAGCATCAATATCTTATGATTCCAACTGTAGAGTAGCATCAATATCTTATGACTCCAACTGTAGAGTAGCATCAATATCTTATGATTCCAACTGTAGAGTAGCATCAATATCTTATGATTCCAACTGTAGAGTAGCATCAATATCTTATGATTCCAACTGTAGAGTAGCATCAATATTTTATGATTCCAAGTTACAGTAGCATCAATATCTTATGATTCCAACTGTAGAGTAGCATCAATATCTTATGATTACAAGTTACAGTAGCGTCAATATTTTATGATTCCAAGGTAGAGTAGCATCAATATCTTATGATTCCAACTGTAGAGTAGCATCAATATCTTATGATTCCAACTGTAGAGTAGCATCAATATCTTATGATTCCAACTGTAGAGTAGCATCAATATCTTATGATTCCAAGTTACAGTAGCATCAATATCTTATGATTCCAACTGTAGAGTAGCATCAATATCTTATGATTCCAAGTTACAGTAGCATCAATATCTTATGATTCCAAGTTACAGTAGCATCAATATCTTATGATTCCAACTGTAGAGTAGCATCAATATCTTATGATTCCAAGTTACAGTAGCATCAATATCTTATGATTCCAACTGTAGAGTAGCATCAATATCTTATGATTCCAAGTTACAGTAGCATCAATATCTTATGATTCCAACTGTAGAGTAGCATCAATATCTTATGATTCCAAGTTACAGTAGCATCAATATCTTATGATTCCAACTGTAGAGTAGCATCAATATCTTATGACTCCAACTGTAGAGTAGCATCAATATCTTATGATTCCAACTGTAGAGTAGCGTCAATATCTTATGATTCCAAGTTACAGTAGCATCAATATCTTATGATTCCAACTGTAGAGTAGCGTCAATATCTTATGATTACAAGTTACAGTAGCATCAATATCTTATGATTCCAACTGTAGAGTAGCATCAATATCTTATGATTCCAACTGTAGAGTAGCATCAATATCTTATGATTACAAGTTACAGTAGCATCAATATCTTATGATTCCAACTGTAGAGTAGCATCAATATCTTATGATTCCAATTGTAGAGTAGCATCAATATCTTATGATTCCAAGTGTAGAGTAGCATCAATATCTTATGATTCCAAGTGTAGAGTAGCATCAATATCTTATGATTCCAACTGTAGAGTAGCATCAATATCTTATGACTCCAACTGTAGAGTAGCATCAATATCTTATGATTCCAACTGTAGAGTAGCATCAATATCTTATGATTACAAGTTACAGTAGCGTCAATATCTTATGACTCCAACTGTAGAGTAGCATCAATATCTTATGATTCCAACTGTAGAGTAGCATCAATATCTTATGATTACAAGTTACAGTAGCGTCAATATCTTATGATTCCAAGGTAGAGTAGCATCAATATCTTATGATTCCAACTGTAGAGTAGCATCAATATCTTATGATTCCAACTGTAGAGTAGCATTAATATCTTATGATTCCAACTGTAGAGTAGCGTCAATATCTTATGATTACAAGTTACAGTAGCGTCAATATTTTATGATTCCAACTGTAGAGTAGCATCAATATCTTATGATTCCAACTGTAGAGTAGCATCAATATCTTATGATTACAAGTTACAGTAGCATCAATATCTTATGATTCCAAGTTACAGTAGCATCAATATCTTATGATTCCAACTGTAGAGTAGCATCAATATCTTATGATTCCAAGTTACAGTAGCATCAATATCTTATGATTCCAACTGTAGAGTAGCATCAATATCTTATGACTCCAACTGTAGAGTAGCATCAATATCTTATGATTCCAACTGTAGAGTAGCATCAATATCTTATGATTCCAAGTTACAGTAGCATCAATATCTTATGATTACAAGTTACAGTAGCATCAATATCTTATGATTCCAACTGTAGAGTAGCATCAATATCTTATGACTCCAACTGTAGAGTAGCATCAATATCTTATGATTCCAACTGTAGAGTAGCATCAATATCTTATGATTCCAAGTTACAGTAGCATCAATATCTTATGATTCCAACTGTAGAGTAGCATCAATATCTTATGACTCCAACTGTAGAGTAGCATCAATATCTTATGACTCCAACTGTAGAGTAGCATCAATATCTTATGATTCCAAGTTACAGTAGCATCAATATCTTATGACTCCAACTGTAGAGTAGCATCAATATCTTATGATTACAAGTTACAGTAGCATCAATATCTTATGATTCCAACTGTAGAGTAGCATCAATATCTTATGATTCCAACTGTAGAGTAGCATCAATATCTTATGACTCCAACTGTAGAGTAGCATCAATATCTTATGATTCCAACTGTAGAGTAGCGTCAATATCTTATGATTCCAAGTTACAGTAGCGTCAATATCTTATGATTCCAACTGTAGAGTAGCATCAATATCTTATGATTACAAGTTACAGTAGCATCAATATCTTATGATTCCAACTGTAGAGTAGCATCAATATCTTATGACTCCAGTGTAGAGTAGCATTAATATCTTATGATTCCAACTGTAGAGTAGCATCAATATCTTATGATTCCAACTGTAGAGTAGCATCAATATCTTATGACTCCAACTGTAGAGTAGCGTCAATATCTTATGATTCCAACTGTAGAGTAGCGTCAATATCTTATGATTCCAAGTTACAGTAGCATCAATATCTTATGATTCCAACTGTAGAGTAGCGTCAATATCTTATGATTACAAGTTACAGTAGCATCAATATCTTATGATTCCAACTGTAGAGTAGCATCAATATCTTATGATTCCAACTGTAGAGTAGCATCAATATCTTATGATTACAAGTTACAGTAGCATCAATATCTTATGATTCCAACTGTAGAGTAGCATCAATATCTTATGATTCCAAGTTACAGTAGCATTAATATCTTATGATTCCAACTATAGAGTAGCATCAATATTTTATGATTACAAGTTACAGTAGCATCAATATCTTATGATTCCAATTGTAGAGTAGCATCAATATCTTATGATTCCAAGTGTAGAGTAGCATCAATATCTTATGATTCCAAGTGTAGAGTAGCATCAATATCTTATGATTCCAACTGTAGAGTAGCATCAATATCTTATGACTCCAACTGTAGAGTAGCATCAATATCTTATGATTCCAACTGTAGAGTAGCATCAATATCTTATGATTACAAGTTACAGTAGCGTCAATATCTTATGACTCCAACTGTAGAGTAGCATCAATATCTTATGATTCCAACTGTAGAGTAGCATCAATATCTTATGATTACAAGTTACAGTAGCGTCAATATCTTATGATTCCAAGGTAGAGTAGCATCAATATCTTATGATTCCAACTGTAGAGTAGCATCAATATCTTATGATTCCAACTGTAGAGTAGCATTAATATCTTATGATTCCAACTGTAGAGTAGCGTCAATATCTTATGATTACAAGTTACAGTAGCGTCAATATTTTATGATTCCAACTGTAGAGTAGCATCAATATCTTATGATTCCAACTGTAGAGTAGCATCAATATCTTATGATTACAAGTTACAGTAGCATCAATATCTTATGATTCCAACTGTAGAGTAGCATCAATATCTTATGATTACAAGTTACAGTAGCATCAATATCTTATGATTCCAACTGTAGAGTAGCATCAATATCTTATGATTCCAACTGTAGAGTAGCATCAATATCTTATGATTCCAAGTGTAGAGTAGCATCAATATCTTATGATTCCAACTATAGAGTAGCATCAATATCTTATGATTCCAACTGTAGAGTAGCATCAATATCTTATGATTACAAGTTACAGTAGCATCAATATCTTATGATTCCAACTGTAGAGTAGCATCAATATCTTATGATTACAAGTTACAGTAGCATCAATATCTTATGATTCCAATTGTAGAGTAGCATCAATATGGTATGATTCCAAGGAATAGTACACTTTCATAACCAGTAATCCCTTTATCAAAAGCTTTTTGCTGTACCATACAAATAAACATCTACTTCAATTTTGCTCAGGAAAATATCTCTGCCTCCCATTGATGTTGAAAAATTAGATGATGAATTCAGCCATGTTGAAAAGTCCTCAGTTGGAGGAGTTTCGTTTCAATTTTCACTTCCTGAATCCACTGTTGCTGGACTGACTGGAACATCCGCTGAAAGGATTCATGAATTCAAAGATATCACACTGAGAGTGAAACCACTATCTATGACATGGATGCCCACTGGAGATTTTTATGTGGGATGTGAAGGTGGACAACTTCTCAAGGTGAACTTTTTTTTCAACACAGTACACAAACCTAGTTATCATTTAATTATCTTTGAAAAAATTGCTTAAAAATAATAGTATTCTTTTAAATGAACAGTGTATCTTATACTGCTAGTTTTCCAAAAATAATAATTTTTTTACAATAAAGTTATATAAAAACAGAAAATATTTTATGCTTTTAAAACAGGTAGACAGTGATCAAACAAAAGCTAAAATAATGAATTTTTCTTCTCACACAAGAGCATCAGTAGCAGCAAAAGACATGTCCCAAACCAAATCTGGTAAAAGTCAACTTAATTTAAAAATTCATTTTTATATTCATCTATTAGCATTCATTCTGAATTTGGATTTTAAAATCTTGTTATTTATAATTGGAATTTTAAAAAATGTCATAGTTGTTATTAGAATGTTGCATGTTACAATACAATACAATACAATAAATATTAGTATGCATAGAACTAACATAGATTATAAATTCACTTTATCTATTCATTTGCTCTGCTTGAAGAGTTATTTTAAAATACTTTGCATACAAATTCAGTACCATCAGTTTCTTGAAATTAAGAATTACTTGTGGCTTGAAAAATCCAATTGGAACTTGACAATAATCCTTTACTTTTGATCAAATAAAATGGAGTATTTAAAAATAAATTCAATTTTGTTGTATTGATTGAATAATACACTTTTATTACAGAAATAATTTTTATCTCCTTGAGATTCTCCTACTTTTGTATTCTACCATGTACAAATCTTGTTTGTCAAATGATAACTGTTGCATAATATTTATATAAATTTTTTTGCGTTTGATTGTAGTTAAATATGAGGAGCATGGAGCACTTGATTTTATAGCACTGCACAATCTTGGCCTGTATACAGCAGGGCGGGTATGGATTTTCAACTTTGTTAGCATTAACTGTTCAAAGATAGTTTAATTTTACTTTCTAACTATTAAGAATGTTGATATATATGTATATATATATGTATATATATATATATATATATATATATATATATATATATATATATATATATATATATATATATATATATATATATATATATATATATATATATATATATATATATATATATTGTATATATATATATATATATATATATATATATATATTGTATATATATATATATATATATATATATATATATATATATATATATATATATATATATATATATATATATTGTATATATATATATATATATATATATATATATTGTATATATATATATATATATATATATATAAATATATATATATATATATATATATATATATATATATATATATATATATATATATATATATATATATATATGATATAAGACATTAAATATTAAAACTTTTTTTGTTATAATTTTAGGATGGGACTATCAAGCTTTTTGAAATTCATAAAGATGAGCTGTTTCTTCTAGATGTAATAGAAACTGGGTCTCCCTTAACCTCTTTACAGTTTAACCAAACCTACCAGAATTTGGCTTGGGGTTCAGTTGAGGTTTGTGTTACACATTATTTATATATATAATTTACCATATAATTTAAGCAAACCTACCAGAATTCGGATTAGGGTTCAGTAGAGATTTCTGTTGCACATTATTCACATACAATTTACCATTTAACTGCTATGAGCATTTTTCTACTTATATTTATTAAGTCATGATCACACTCTTACTAAAAAGTAAATTTATGTGTATGGATAAAATAATTTAATCAATATGAATTCCATTGAACAAATGCAGGGCCTCATTCAAGTGATGAACTGTGGTGACCTCAGCTCAGTTGTAACAATTGCATCATTGCATCAGGGCAACATTGTTGGTGTTGGTGGCTTAAGTGTAGGGTCTGACTGTTGTGTGGTAAGTCCAAAACGTTTTTTAGTGCTTGATTTTGTTTTGTTATTTTTTAAGATTCAAAATCAAAGAGGCTAACCTGACACTTTTAAAGTTGATAAAAAATATATAAAAGTATTAAAATGCTGTACATTTTTATCAAGCTTTTTCCTCATGTTGAATACAATATTTGTGTAATCATTATCTTGCTAGTGCCTACGACAAGATGGCTATGTTCAAGTATGGAAAACCAGTGATGGTACTTTTATGGGTGAGGTTGCAACCAATGAACCTGTAAGTATAGTTCTAGAGTCATAATTTTAAAAAAAAATATAATTATTCACAAATATAAGTTAAGTTTTGGAAAGAGAAATTTATATGATAACTATTTTGTCAAAATTATCATTTAAAAATATTTGAGAATTTGATTTTAAAATTAAAGTATACTTTTAAAATGTGTGACTACTGTTTTTTTAAAGAAGCCTCCTTATCTGTTTTAAATTTAAGGGCTCCACCTTGGCCTGTTGTCCCATAGCTCATTATGCTGCTGTTGGCACAGAGTCTGGTAACGTCTACATTGTTGATTTAACCAAGCCAACTAATCCAAGGGTTATCTTAAACCAAAGGCTGTTCAAATCTCCCATAACTAGATTAGTGTAAGTTTGCTTTCTGTACTCAAGGCATTATATTTCATTTTTTGACTAACCTAAAAGCATTTTTAAAAATCACTTTAAATTTTTTTTTATTATTTCTTTATATTTATCTTAGTTTTAATGGAGACGATGGAAAGATCCTGTTTGCTGCTGCAGAATGCAACCATATTTTTGTCATAGATGCAAGACCATCTAGTAATTTTGCCATTTTAGGATATATCAGTAAGTAATGTAGAAAGAGAATTTTATATTGACTTTAAGAAAAATGCCATTAATTTAAATTTGCATTGTACAGATTCTATTTTATATAGTTAAATTCTTTTAGCTTTAGTCTTAGGGGTGAAGGTGAACATTTTTTTTTACATATGAAAACATTTTTCAAATACATTTTTGTCTCTTCAAAATTTTATCCTGGGAAAAGATGATGAAAAAATCACTAGGAAAATAATTTTTTAATCTACTGTCTTTTTAAATATATTTTGGTAGAATAAAAAAAATCTTTTTTCTGTATTAAAAGAAAAACTGTATTAAATTTGTGTTAAATTTGTTCTTTACAATATTTCCTAACATAAGACTAGGTACATTAGCATTATTTTTTAACATAATAAAAAATATTTTTTTTTACAGATGTTGTTGGTGTAGTTAAAGATATAGCTGCACACTATCAAGGGAAAGAAAAAACTGTTTTAGTAGCATCATGCAACAATAATCCTGAGATAAATGGAGCTAATCTTTTGTTAAAGTTCACATTCTCCTCATCCATGATTGATGGTTAGTATATTGGCTTTAAATGCATCTGTTTTTATTGAAAAATAGTTTTTAAAAGGATTGTTTTATGCTTATTTAAATTTCTTGTTGTAAATATATTTGTAATGTAATAAAATATTATTTTATTTGTTGTGTTTAGATATCACTGAATACTACAACAGCCCTATGTGTGATATTAAGGAGGAGGCTTGTCAAACTTTAAAGATGGGCTTGCGTCATGCTATCTGTGGGCTTGCTATTGGGGAAGGGGAGGCAATCTATGCTCTCAGTGCCAGCACAAGGAAACTCCTGTGTTATACCATGCCTGTCCAAGATCCTGAAAAAACTTTGAAAAAAGTAAGTAATTATTAGCAGTATGGTTTATCATAAGTGATACAGGATAAAATAGTGACTGGCATAATAATTAACACTAGATAACCCACCTTACAAGTTTAATTAGTTTAAGCTGACAGACTATAAAAACAGACTGACAATAAGCCCAAAAGACATAAATCAGACAATTACAAATTAAGGGAAAGACCAATTGCTTGTACAGAACTGGTTCAATTGTTTCCAATTTTATGTCGTTATAAATTTTTTTTGAAAACAAACAATTTAAAAAAGTTGAAACTTTGTTACACTTTCCCACCAGATTGACCTACTTTTGAGTCCAGTGACGGAGTTCCCTGGTCACATGCTGAGTGGAGGCAATGTTTTACTCTCCCCTCACCTCAAGTGGCTGCTCTCTTACTCACCAGATGGCTGTGTCAAAATTAGAAGCATAGCCTCATTGGTAAGAAATATACACAGGACTGTAGAATCTGCTTAATTGTAAGATTGGCATTTTTTATTCCATTTCATTTGAAACTTATTAGTTCAATACAAAAGAGTGGACAATCAATATGGCAGATTTGGGAGTTGATGGGGCAGATTGGGGAGTAAAAAGGGCAGATTTGGGAGTCAATAGGGCAGATTGGGGAGTTAAAAGGGCAGATTTGGGAGTCAATAGGGCAGATTGGGGAGTTAAAAGGGCAGAATTGGGAGTCAATAGGGCAG